AGCGCTCTGTTCCCTTCCGCGCCCCATCCCGGGGCCGTCCCTGCTTCCTGGGAGTGAAAAACTCATTAACTTCACTGTATTTTGCTGCTTCGTGACTGGTCTCTAGCAGGTGTTTGCAGGGGGCGTCGCTCCCAGCCCCTGGACTCTCAGCATTCCCCATTCCCTAAGGACTCCTCTCCAAGGTCACTGCAGGTGATGGGATTATTCGATGTCGTTCTCCCATCACGTTAACGGGTGACAAACGACTGTGACCCGGCTGTCCTCGGGGTCTGACCAACACACAACTCGGTGTTTCAGCAGCCTGGGGACTGGTCCTTACTAAAGTCACGTCTGATCTTCGCTTTGCTGAGACTTCATTGTTCAAAGGTAACCCCAGGCTGTCCCTCCAGATGCACAGAACATCGGTTTCGGATGCTTTTGGACGCTGCAGCTCCTGGGAAAGAGGATCTGAGGGTCAGGCTGCTGACAGCTGCCCGGTAACCCAGCTGCCCAGTCAGGCCAGGCTCAACAGTGCTCTCTGTTTGCACTGGGAACAGACTTTTCCTTGACCTTCTCTTTTGCCCCCCTGCTCTGTCCCCCTCCACTCCCCAAATGGAGCCTTTTTCTCGCTTGTTTGTGGTGAATCTCAAGTACTTTCTGAATGACAAAGTCCACTTGTCAGCAATATTCCTTTAAAAGACTCTGTTCTCTCTGCTCCAAGGCCTGCCTGACAATCACTCTATTATCACAGCTTTCTTATCCCATAGATTTTTTATCCTTTCCCTCCAGGGCTAATAAGGAGAAAAGCTTCAGCAGCCATTGTGAGGAGAGGGCTCCCACTCAAGGGTTCAGCTCAGACTGAAACCCTCACAAACTCCAGGGAAGAGCCATTATCCCGTATGTGGGACACCATCATTTGATCACCATGAATGACTTTTTGAAGCAGAGGCCATTCATCAGTTGGGTAATGGTGTTGTTAGCTCAAAGACCCAGCTTTCAAATCATTTCTGCTCCCAGGGCCCCCGCTGAACCATCTGACCGCTATCACTGGATAGTTCACTGACTCCCCGCTCCAGTCGTGAAAGGAAACATTCTTGACATTTTCTGACAGCTCACTGATGCCTCGTCCCAACTCATTCCCCCACCCTAGAATGCTCTTACTCTTCCCTGTGCAATCTCCCATCCCTTCAGTGGGATGTGGCACAGTTCAGCAGCACCACCTGCACTGCTGAGACACCTCGAGGGCCGTGCCCAGTTCTGGGCCCCTCATTCCAAGAGACACTGAGGGGCTGGAGAGTGTTCAGAGAAGGGAAGGGAGCTGGGAAGGGGCTGGAGCAGCAGGAGCAGCTGAGGGAGCTGGGAGGGCTCAGCCTGGAGAAAAGGAGGCTCAGGGGGGACCTTCTGGCTCTGCAACTCCCTGAACAGGAGGGGGGAACCAGGGGGGCTCTGGTCCCAGGGAACAAGGGATAGGACAAGAGAAAATGACCTCAAACTGTGCCAGGGGAGGTTCAAGTTGGACATGAGGAGGAATTTCTCCCTGGAAAGGATGGTCAGGCTTTGGCAGGGGCTGCCCAGGGAGGTTTGGAGTGCCCAGCCCTGGAGGTGTCCCAGGAAGGCCTGGCCGTGGCACTCAGTGCTCTGGGCTGGGGGACAAGGTTGGCATCAGGCACAGGTTGGACTCAATGATCCTGGAGGTCTTTTCCAGCCTCAGTGATTCTGTGATCTGACCTTGGCAGCAAGCGGGGAAGGGGGGGCATAATTTAGTTTTTTGAGGCTCTTTGAAGTGTTACAAACCACGCACACCCAACATCACACCACACAGGGAGCACAGAGCAGCAAAGCCAGGCTGTGACACAGCCCAACACCCCCTTCCTGGCTGTGATGGGGCGTCTCCACTGCTCTTCCATGAAAAGAAGCTCATGGGACCACTGCTTATAAAAGCACACAGGTTTATTGCATATCAATCTCATGTATAAATTCATTGTAGCATTGGAAAGATTACATTTGGTATACATTCCTATTCTACAGCATTAACCTCAAAATCAGCTTTTTCTATTCATTATTTTAAAGGAATTTCTCTACACAAGTACATTTGTCTTTTATCACAAGCATCAAAATGAAATTTGTAAAATTGCCTTTTTTTTTTTAATTATTTTCTACACTTCATATCTTTTATTTCATTATGCTCCCAACAAAGCGATTCCATATTAATTAATAACTGCCAACACTTTTTCTTTCTTCCTTGGCAGTTCGAGGCTTCAAGCCTCGGACGCAAAATCTAATCACATATACAATAAGTGCATCTACAGAATTTTTTTCTTTTTAATAAAAATTTCACAAACAGACACAATAATGACTGCTAAACACAAGTCATGCACAGTTTACTTATAAACATAACAGAAGCAATATACAATCAAGAATGATATGGAACAAGCACCATCCTCTTTCTCAATGTTTTTTAAACATTATATGAAAACCAGACATTTACAATTGATTTAAAAAAACACTATACAGGTCTAAAGGAAAAAAAAAATCCAACCTAAATCATATCTGTATTGTAACAATGGGAAAAGGAATGACATAGGATGCACAGATTTATGATTCTTGCAAGCACAATATATATATGTTTTAAATTACATCTTCTGCAGGCTGGAAATGACATCAGGGCAAAACATCTCTTGCTTTGAAGAGAGCAACGAGAATGTAAAATACACTGAGAATTACTTTCAGAATTACTTTGTTCACATGTGAATTGCACATTTGGAAATCAAAGCTGCCTTTTTTTTCTTTTTCATTCTTTTTTTTTTTTTTCCCCCAAAGTGGTACTAAGAATTAATGACAGAAGAAGAGAGAGAGAGAGAGAGAGAGAGAAAAGAACCTCGGAATCATTCAAGAACGTTTTAGTCACAGTATCACTCAACACTACAGAGAAGTTTCATGGCTTTGTGAGAACACTACTGACCATGGGCGAGGAGCAGAGGGTTTTGCCCTTATGTGACCAGCGCTGACTCCTGCCCAGGGGGGCAGCGGCGGGCAGGGTCCCGCTCCCCTTCCCCGCCGCACACACACACACACAATACAGCACGTAAAAAACCGAGTGTAAGTCAGCAGATTGACCCGGGCGGAGGGGAGGGGGGGCTCACGATCCAGTGCTTTGATGCTTTAGAGTCAAACGCGTCCATGTCGTTGTGCAAGTGCTTTCCGGGAGCGAGAAGCCGCTCCCGGGAACGTCTACTGAGCGTCTAAGTGCTGATTGGGGAGAAATCAAAAGCTTCCTCGACACTGTTTTAAGCAGGACAGAACCCCGGCTGGGTGTTTGTCCCGGAGTGCAGCTCAGCAAACCTGGCTGGTGTTTGCTGTTCAGCCCTGCTCGGTTTGGGTTTGGGCAGCTCCCGTGGAGCCCCGCACAGCCACATCTCTGGGATGCCCTGGGAGGCAGGACCTGGCTGGCATGGGACACCCTGGAAAGGCACCCACCCGGAGCAGCCTGTGCACCAAAGGGCACATCCCGTGGAAGAGCCCAGCGCCTCAACATGTCCCGTGGGAGAAGCCGGTGCCTCGGCACATCCCGTAGGAGAACCCCCATTCTCCACACCAGCCTGGGACTGACCACCAGCGAGCAGGGAATGCACAGACACCACACCCATGTCCCCCAGCTCCAGCCCAGGCAGGAGGATCCACCTGTGACCAAAGAGGGGGCCCTTTGTGGAGCGCTGACATCCCATCCCCGCCGAGCAGGAGGGTGCAGCCAGCGGCTCCCGGCCTCCCCCGGCCACACCAAACATCCCCAGGCCTTGCCCTCCTCTCCTCTGTGCTGTTGTGGCAATAAGGCCGTGGGATGTGAAGATACTTCATTAAGTAGGCCCTACAAAAAGCTCTGGTTTAAATCACACCTCAGGTGGTGCCCTGGCTGTTGGACACCCCACCCCACATTCCCATCCCTGCCACCCTCACCTGCCCACGTTGCACTGGGATCCTGGATCCCCAGCACGACGTGTCCATGGCTCTGGACAGCCCTGAGCACCACAGCTCCACATCTCACCCAAGCTCTCAGACCTTCCCCACTGCTGGGAATCCACCTGTGCCCTGATGGCAGAATGTCCTCGACACAAAACTCTCGGGAAACAGCCTTGAAAATATGGGATTCTTCACTAAAGCAGCAAACCGGAACCTCAACGCCTGCTGGGAACTGCAGCACATTTCAAGTGCAATCCAACAAAAGCAAAAGTTAAACAGAGGTTCAATGAGGCTTTCTGTTTCTTTATCTTAACCAGAGAAATCAAAACTTGTAATCAGTGCTAAATTAGAGGAGTTGGGAGATCCTACAACACACGGAGACATGAGAAAGTGGGGAGAAAACTGAATCAGGAAATATGAAAAGAAAAAAAATCATTTCATGATTTTAAACCCTATATTTTAATGTCCTCAATCCCTGGCTGGATTGTACCTCCCCATCCCTGGCCAGCACCAGGAGCCCTCACTCCTGGAGATCTGTGGAGAGCCAGGATCAGCCCTGGGAGGGGAACAGCGACAGCATGAGCTCGGTCAGAGCAAGGACCTGACAAACTGCTTTTGGAGAAACCACGCAAGAGAGAGAAGGGCTGAGATGTGGATGGGAAGACCATAAATACCCCAAATAAATCCCCATGATAACACTTGAATTTCTTGATGCTTGGCCCACATTTTGGTGACCAGCTCACTGCCACTCCCTTGGCTGCTCCGTTCCCTCCTCGAGCTGCAGATCCCGACCTCCTCAAAGGATGGACAGAACATTGGATCTGAGCATGCAAACCCTGCTCACTGCCCACGGATCTTGTTCCAGCACAACAGGCAGTGCCATGGGCCCTACCAGAGACATGCTCACACACTGTTTGCTCCAAGCAGCTGCCAAAATCCAAGGAGCTGCAAATCAGCTTCGTGCAGAACAGGACAGGACAGATCTCTCCCCCCGCTTATGGTCATTTCCATGTTCTCCTGGAGCAGGGCCATCGAAGCAGAGCATCCCCACTGGCCTCCTCCTCCTCCTCCTCCTGCACTGGGGGAGCTGGTGCTGGTTCCCAACCAGCCAAGGCCATCACTAGAACTTTCCTCCAACACCCCGGGCACTTCAAGGCAAAGGGAACCCAAGGGATGATTGTCTGGAGAATTGGCAGCACGACTGGCAGGACTGATCTGGGGGCATTTGGCACATGGACAAAATCTTCCTACTCCCTGGTTATCCATCATCCAACATCCAACCTTAACCACACGATTTTGGTCCTTCACTACATACTTATATTAACATTGTTTCTTCACAAGAATGATCCCTAATGCAAAAAATACTGTTAAGGAAGAAATAAAATAAGAAAGGAATTAGCCCAAAATTACAAGTTATATACAGATTAAAATAAATTCCATCAGGAAAAGAAAGAATTCTTTTTATTATTTTCAGTTGGCCCCTGTGGGAATAATTTAAAGGCCAAGTGCCTGGGCAGGGCTGTGCTGCAGCTGCCACAGTGGGGATGGGATGGGATGGGATGGGATGGGATGGGATGGGACAGGGCTGTCCCTCCCCTCTGCAGAGCCAGGGTTCCTCTGACAGTGTTGGCTCTCGGGCTTCCCCTGCCCAAGAGCTTTGTGCAAATACATGAAGCAGTTCGGTTACACTGACTGGTGTTCTCAGGGCCTTGGGCACTTTCACAGGATGTTGTGGAAAACCAAAAAAAGGAGGATCAATTTTCTTGGGAAACACGCTGATGCTGCTAATTTACCTTGTGTTCCTTCTGCACCAAAGCCACCTTTGATGTTTTCCTCCATGAACAGTTTGAGGCTCCTGGCTCCCTAAAAACAGCCTCGGGTGTGCTCTTGGGAGCAAAGCTGACCTTGCAAAGAGATCACTCCCACCACCACCTCTGCTTTACTCAGGGAGGTGGTTCCGTTGTTTTGGCTTGATGGAATGAGGTTTCCCACTCTGGACTGGCTCAGAAACCTCCATCTGCCCTTTTCCATACTGAGCAGGCAGAGAGGCTGCACATGGCTTCCATAATTGTTCAGTAAATCAATGTTATCTCCAAATTCCCTGCTCCAGCTGCAATTGCAATGGAGAACAGCAGAAAGCCCAGAGGATTTCTGGAGGCTGCTGTGTATCAGCAAAGGAGATGAGGCTTTGAAGCGATTTAAAATCACTCATAAAATATCTGTGAGCATCTTAAGGTTGGAGAGACAACTCGATTCTTTATCTCTGTGCCTGAGCAGAGCTCTGCACCCTCAGGCTGCTGGAGCACGGAAATGTTAATCTTTCTACTTAAATTACAGGCCAAGCAGCAGCGGGTGGTGCAGAGGCACCATCCAACAGGCCAGAACAACGGTGTGAATCAGAGATCTCTGCCACAGCCCCAGACACCATCAGCAGGGAATGATGGCACCCAAAACCCCCGGGAGGTGACACAGGATGTGTCCCAGTTGCCCTCGGTGGGGTGAGACTTGCCCAGCACACATTTCCTCGTGCACAGCCAGGGAAGGGCTCACCCTGGGATCTCTCTGCTCAGGGAATTCCAAGCACTGCCAGGAGCTCCATCACTCCCAAGTGCCACCACTGCCACCGCCCTGGCTGGGCACGGCTCTGTCCCAGACACTGTGAGCTCCAGCCCGGGCAGCAGCTTGGGCTCACAGCACTGGCAGGGATGGGGAGCCCTCTGCTCTCACAGGCAGAGGCTGCTCAGGGCACAGCCGGTGACCCACATCTGTGTGACACGTCCACACGCCGACCCCAGCAACGTTCCAGGCTGGAGATGTCCCAGCTGGGACCTGCACGGAGCGCAGGATGACTCCAGGCCTCACCTCGGAGGAGCTTTGTGCCGTGCCAACATTTTGTTGGGAACAAAGGACAGGATGGTGTTTCTGTGGGAGCACAGACCTCTTTTGGGGGTCAGTGAAATGGGATGAATTTCCCTTCCCTGGTATAACTCCAGCGGCTGTGTCAGAATTGCACCAGGGACAGGTCAGCCCTGGCTCTCTTCCCTCAGTACTTCCCTGTTCAGCTGGATGGGAAGGAAATGCTGTCGTGTGGCTCCGAGCTGCCGTTCCTGCTCAGGCTGGACTGGCTCAGTGACACTGCTTTGTAAGGTTGGAGGGGCCAATCTTTGATTGCACTGTTGCAATTCGTGTCTTGCTCATGCTGTTCCTACAGACAGTGAAATCCTGGGGCTGCATCAGGGTTGTCCAGTTTGGGAGAGGTTCATTCTGATAAATTAGAAAGGAAAACTCTGGATGGGTAAAAATGCAGGACGTGTAGGTCGGATGCGACAGGTTTCCTTCTCAGCCCAAAGTTCAGACGACTCCCTGAGGCCCTCTCATCCATCTTCTGCTCGCTGGGGTTTTGCAAGGACAGCTGCAGCACCACTGCCGCCTCGCTTGGACTCTGGCCAGTGCCTTGAGGACCTCTCAGAGGTGGTTGATGGGGTTAAAGGTCCCCGACTCTGAAGCTGCTCCTGCCATGTCCAACCAAGCACCCAGAGAGTTCTGGGAGGACGTGTGGAGGGGAGCGTTCTCAGACAGGGACAGCATCATTGCATAAGCCTGGGGGAGAGAGGAATGCAGAGGACACTGTGAACACCCTGCAGGACCCCGAACATGCACATGGGGCTGGCCATAAACCCAGCACCCTCTGGCCTGGGCCATAAACCCCCATCCACACACCAGGATGGTCCCCACCACTCCAAAGACTGAGGTTTGCCACAGGCAGGGGATAGTCAGGAGAGACCATCATTCCCACTGGCCTTTACAGGCCCAAACCCATCCTGAGCCAGGCCCCACAAAGTGACTCCAGGCTCTGCTCCCAGGGAAAGGCAGCTATTACTGGGGTTTGCTCTTAAAAAAAAGCACATCTCCAGATAGGCCAGAGTCTCAGGGAGGCTGGGCTGGGGCGGGCACGAGCCCTGGAAATGGGGCAGCAATGCCCACAGGAGCAGCATCCTGGTGGGCACTGGTGGGCAGCTGCTCATCCCCACCCACTGCCTGGCATGAGCCCACTGGTGCCTGCAGACACCTGTATGGAGGTATTTGGGAACACAAAATGCTCCCTGGCACTACTGGTGTGTTCAGATGTTCTGTCAGGGTGGATTTATTGCTGCAGTTAAATGATTAAAGGTGTTTTCTGGCAGAAACACACCAAGACTTCTGCACGCACAACAATCACCTGGCTTCTTGGAGCCTGGGTGCTCTCCCTCCTCCAGGGCTGCTCGTCTCACACACCTCTGCATCCTCCCACAACCCACACAAGTGGTGTGAGGACTCAGGCCAACGATAACCTCACACACCAGAGGGGAAAGTCAATGTCATTGTCACCCAGGAGAAAGAGCAGAACATAGTTGGTCCCCACCCTCCCTGCTCCAGGGCAGAGGAACAGCTTCGTGGTGCTGTGGACACACAGGCTTCTAAAACTGCTTAAAAGAAAGCCAAAGGAATGCTGTGCTGCTCACACAAATGCTGGTGGGTCTGAACTGGTCTGGCTCACAGGTTTTTTGGTTTTTTTTCCATTTTATGTATGGTTTACTTCTAGAAATCAAGGAGATAAACAAGGAGACCCTCTAGACAAGCTGGGCTGCAAGTCCTGGAAATGCTTTTGTCTATGACACCTTTTATAACCAAACCCAAGGGCATTTTGTTGCTGTTTCTGCAGAACAAACCTCAGTGTTTACAAACAGAAGACCCATCCCGAAGTATAAATAAATAAAGAGCCACAGAAACATTTATACAGACAGATAAAAACAGACAGATGCCTCTCTCTTCCTGTATAGCCACATTCTCACCCCACGGGCTGAACAACAAATCCACCTGGTGCCCTAAAGGTGATGGCCAGTCCCTGCCTCTCTGTTTCAGTTGTTGCAACAAGGCACAGTTCACTCACAATCCATGTGTGTGCTAGAATTCCTGCTGGAAGGGGGAAATAAACAACTGCAAGGGGGAAATAACCCACTAGAAGGGGAAAATAACCCTCTGCTAGAGGAGGGCAGCTGCTCCCTAATCCTACTGTCCGTGCTGGAGGCAAGCTTGGAAAACGTTCTGTGCATACCCACCTGGTTTTTAGCCTGCCTGTACAGAGTCTGTTTTATTGTCTCAGAGTCTAAGGTGGAATTAAACACATCTTTAACTTCAAATGCTTCCTCGGCCGCTTTGCGAAGGTCCAGCCCCTTCCCAAAATTCGGCATCTGCTCCAAATCTAACAGGGCGGCTTCGTCCTCCTCAATACACCTGTACCAATGACCAGGGGTGACCCGGGTTAGCTCGGCTGGGCACCCACCCCCTGCATGCACAACCCACGGGGGTCACAGGCACATGCGTGAGCGGACGGACACACGGACACGGCAACCACACGGCATGGGAGGAGCAGGGAAGAAGTGGAGAGCAACAAGTGCTGCAGGTGTCTGAGGTTCTGCACCAAAACCAGCAGGGAGCTGGGCTTGGGGAAGGGGTTACTTGGCATCCTGGCACGTCTGCTGCCACGAGGCAAAACCAAGGCTGGGCCTGCACTGTGTGCAGGAAACTTTGATTTTAAAGCTGTCTAGGCATGGCTGACCTTGGGGAAAAGAAGTCTTCACTTTTCATAGAATCATAGAATCACAGACTGGTTTGGGTTGGAAGGGACCTTAAAAATCACTCCATTTCACCTCCTGCCATTGGCAGGGACACCTTCCACCAGCCCAGGTTGCTCCAAGCCCCGTCCAACTTGGCCTTGGACACTTCCAGGGATGGGGCAGCCACAGCTTCTCTGGGCAACCTGTGCCAGGGCCTCCCCACCCTCACAGGGAAGAATTTCTTCCTAATATCCAACCTAACTCTACTCTCTGTAAGTGTGAAGCCATTCCCCCTTGTCCAAGCCCTTATTAATAGTCTCTCTCCTTCTTTCTTGTAGCTCCCTTCAGGTACTGGAAGGTTGCAGTTAAGTCACCCTGAAGCCCTCTCTTTTCCAGGCTGAACAACCCCAGTTCTCCCAGCCTGTCTTCATGGCAGAGCTGCTCCCCCCTTCTAATCCACTTGGTGCCTGCCCTGGACTCGCTCCAGCAGCTCCACGTCCTTCCTGTGCCAGGATCCCAGGGCTGGAGGCAGCTCTGCAGGGGGGTCTCACCTGAGGGGGCAGAGGGGCAGAATCCCCTTTTTGCCAGAGCTCTGAGAACTCCACTTGCAGTCAAGGATGTTCTGCTGTGACTCAAAGGGCCAGAGCAGCACCAAAGGAATTGCACAGACACCCCTTCCCTCGCCCTGGCCACAGTTTTGGAGAGAAAGACAATATCTGCTGAGCTGTGCTGCCCTGGGTGTTGTGTGGGACCAACTGTTCTCCTGATCCAGGCTCCTCACACCTCAGCCCAGACTCTCCTTGCAGTCCACTTGTTTCGTGTCCCCACCACGGTGAAATGGAATCTGGAGCGAACGCTCAAATCAAACCGGAGGCGTGAGAGACATGGCTCGGGAAAACAAACCACAGCACTGATGATCCACCACAGACACGGGGGCAGGGGCTGAGCCCCCTCCGGCCCCTGGAAGGGAACAGCCCCCCCTCACCTCCGGGTGTGGTCGAAGCTCATGGTGAGAGACGTGGGCTCCTCATCCTCCTCATCCTCGAAGGCCCCCCGGGGCTCCGCCGTGGGCGACACCGGCTCGTCCTGGGACTTCCCCGTCAGGCTGTCGTCGTCCTCCTCTTCCAGTTCTTCGTCTTCGTCGTCCACATCTTCCGTTTTCTCATTTGCTAATCCATGGCACTGGGAATTGCCATCGATATCCTGGATTTCTGGCCTGAAATATTTGGTCGGGGGGGGGAGGGAGAAGGAGAGAGGAAAGAAAAAAAAGATGGTAAATTACCTGATAATTCTACTGCAATGCTTTGATAATATTATATATATATGTATGAACACAGAGAGATATTTATATATATATATAGATTATATATAAGAAAAAGGAAAATCAACATGTCACAGGCACTTAAAAATCAGCCTGCACCATTTCTTAAGTATGGTAAGAACACAGCAACCCCAAGGCTTTTCAAACTACAATATTGTCTACTCTGAATTTAAATGCTGGTTTTCAATCTCTTAAAATATAACATCTGTGGGACAGGCAGCTTTCCTCCTTCTCTGTCCTGCTGTATTCCAACAATCTCCCTTTGAGCAACCAGGAGGAGGAAGCCTCTACCAACCAGCTTAAATTCTTTCTCATATTATTTTACTATACTGTCATCAGATAATTCTATTTTCTTTTCTACCTTTTATCTGCTAAAGTTGACGCTTGATTCATCTCACTATTTGCAATAAAATTTCTGATTTCAGAGAAATACGAATCCTCTTTTTCATCTAAAAGTGCATGGTTGTCTGATTCCGAGTTGGGGGAAGAGGCACTGGTCCCGAGGTGGTTGGTGATGACTCCAGAGTGCTGGCTCACTGTGGGGGAGAGACAAGGAGAGAACAGGAGGCACCATCAGGGGTTGCCAAGGCCATTAGGAACAGGAAACATGAAGGAGGAACAGTCCCCTCACTAGATACTCATTATTCAGCAGTCAAGAGAAAAGTCATGGACCCAAAAAGGAACTTTGTGTTTCCCAGACCTGAACTACAGAGAGAAATACAGGGGATATTCAGCATTTATGGACAATACATACAGTTTAAGAACCCTTATCCATTGCAGAGCTGTTTGCCTATAACCTTTCCACAATATCTTTGTTTTCACCTGTGCTGGGAAATCACTTCCTTGGCTCCAGCACAGGGATTTCCTCCTTCAGTTTTTATCTTAAGGCAAAGCCCTAATTACCTTCTGGAACTCCACACACCCCCACAAACCCATCCTTGGGGAACAGTGCATTCCAGAAGGGCTTCCCAGAGCCAGGGAGAGACCAGCCCGAGGTGTCCTGTCCCTGCAGTGATCCAGGGCCATGTCCTGCCCTACCTGGCACGTTCTCGTGCTCGTGTTTCTTCAGGTGCCTGTCCAGGTTGGTTTGCTGCCCGAAGCACCTGTTGCACAGGTGACACTTGAATGGCTTCTCCTTGTTGTGGATGTTCCGGACGTGCCGCTGCAGGTTGGAGGAAATGCTGAATGACCTGTCACAGTATTTACACCTGAAAAACAGAAGCAAACGCCAAAGGTTGCAGGGTGAGGGAGGCAGGGAAAAAAAAAGAGAAAAAAAAGAAAAAAAGAAAAATCTGACTATCAGAAAGCCAGGGAATGTTGGTCTATAAATCATTACTCAGCTGAGGACATGGGAAGCACAAGGCATTAATCACTGCAGACAAATCTGATATTATTGTTACTCAAGGAGCACAAAGGAAGGATTAGGATTAATTAGGAAGCAAGTCGTCCAAACAAATAAGGGTTTTAAACAAAGTAATTACTTTTCCACATATCAACGTTAAAATAAGAAAGGTGAATTTATTCCTTCCAACCTTCCCCTTTTGGGAGGGATTAGGTGAAATATGGCTGTGGAGGGAGGACAAGGAAGAGAGAAGAAGAAAGAAGGGAGGTGAAATGTATAAAATAGTTATTAACAGGTAAATCCCTGCGTGACAATCAGCTGGACACACAAAAAACTCCAGCTTTATTTGTGAAACTCCTTGTGGTGCTGGAGATCCAGGCCACAGAGTGTGTCTTTAAAGGTAATAATGGTTATTCTTTCTGTACAACAGCTCCCAAGAAATATAACATAATTTCCAAACAGGATTTACTCCTACAGGTGAATATCTGATTTAAAATGAAAAACTGGACCGTAAGGAGTCAAGCTTGGATGTTCAGGGAAGCTGTTGAGGGAAGAAACATCCCCTTTTTGAGCTGAGTCCCTGCACGACCCGTGGCAGACGGGCTGGGGGCCTGTTCAAAGTGGTCACCCTCCTTTCCAGATTCAGATTCCCTCCAAAAAAACCCAAGGATTTGCTCAGGGTGGTGCTGTGGGCTCCGATGGACTGAAGAGGGCAGCTTCGAGCCGCACTGCAGAGTTTTGGGAGCCTCATTCCCTTTGGAATCCACCGAATCCCTCCTTAGGTCTCTCCCGTTAAATACATCCCTTGGAACTCAGCAAAGCTGCTTCTCCCGTGGCTCTGCTTCCACACCCACGAGCAGCAGAATCCATCTCTATGACCCTCCACAAATCCCGGACACTTACGGGACAAAATCCAAACTGCTCCCAAGTCCTTGTAATTCCAGGACAAATCCACTCCCTTCAGCGGGACTGCTCCGAGCTCCTCCAGCCCAGAGCAACCTCTGCCCTGCTCAGCTGAGCTACTCCTCGACAAGAATCCAAGAATCCCCGAAAAGTTTGGGTTGGAAAGCCCCAAGACATGGAGATGGAGGGGGATCCACACAGGTTTTGGGAACAGCAGCAGCTCCTGATGTGCTCAGGGCACCCAGACTCACCCCGTGCCAGCCTCACTCGAGGATGAAACTGGATTTCCCTGGACATTTAGGACATGGGATTCCTCCCTACAGACACAACAGGTTCAACTGAGAGCATAAAGAATCCCCGCTGTGAAACACCCCCCCCCGTTTCCAGATGTGCTCCAGCTGTGATTTTTATTTGGCCTCTAAAAATAAATTGATTATTATTTTTGGAAATAGCAGGGATACATTTATGAAACACTCTCTCTCGCTGAATGTTTATGGATTCCATGTCCACCTCCGAATTTCCTACTGCTAAACCTCCAGAAAGAATAAAGATATTTCAAATAATGAACCTTTATTAGGATTAACCGAAGAAGAAAGCAAAAATCTCTTTTTAAACCACAGCTTTTTCAGGTTTTTAAAGTCTTTCCTTTTCATTCTTTCAAAAAACCTCTAAATAACCCCAGAAAGCATTATTTGAACATCAGCAAGAACAAGCACAGTTTCTACACGGGGAGTTAAACACAGATTTCCAGCACTCAGGAACCTGCTCTCAGGAGCTGCCAGGCTCCAGCAGCTCCTCCTGCTCAGCCCTTCAGAAAGCTGTGACATCCAGAACAGCCAATACCCCCAAATTCCTGCTGTTCCACGGGATTTTCACGAGCAGTTTTGTCCAGCTCATCCCTGCTGGTGCCAGTGGTTTTCCCTTCCTGCCCATTTGCACCATCTCTGTGCCCTCCTGAGCCAAACTCAGCTCTGTGTGTGTGTCCCAGTGCCTGGCACACTGGATACCTGGCACAGTGGGCACCAGGGCTGCCCAGGTGCCCAGCCTGGCTCTCCCTGAGTCCCTGCCAGGAGCAGCTCCAGCTGGTTCAGAGGCAGCTCTCCCACGGGCAGGGCAGGAGAGCTCCAGCCCCCTCCGTGTCCATTTATTTAGGTGTCCAGGAAGCCTTTGAAAAGTTCCCTCTGACAGGTCCTGGCTCTCACAACGAGCTGTGTGCACCCAGGGCAGGGCACGGAGACAGGATGAAGAGCTTGTTAAAGAAATGGGAACCAGAGGGCCATGGGGAAGGAGCAGCTGATGTCTGGGAGCAAAGGGATGAGGGAGGTGTCCGGCGTTATTTGTGGTCCCAGAGGGGTCAGTGCTTGGAACTCTGCTGGTTTTAATCTAAATAAATGACCCAGACAGAGGAACCAGCTTCAATCCAGGGAAGGGGTGAACAGGGAGGCAGCAGAAGAGTAAAGCTCAAAGGCAGCAGCATTTGCTTTGCAAACACACCGACAGGACACCGGTAAAGCTTCTCCCTTATCAGCTTAAAGTAACACAGCAATGGGCTAAAAACATCTAAAGTGGGAGTGAGTGACAGCAAAGAAGGAGCTGGAGATGGAGCTGGGGGGCTCTGAGGAACCACAGGCAATCCCTGGAGCTGCAGGTACCTGGGATAACACGGGTGGAGGGGGAAAACAGAGAGCAACCCCCCCCCCAGGGATGAGGGAAGGAGTCCCTGGGACACAGTTTTACACTGATCTGCTGATCAGTGGGAGCTGGAAAGGCAGAACTGCAGTGAAAAAGCACAAAACACACAGACAGCAACTCCTCCTCAGCCCCAAGAGCATTTATAGCAGGGATGAACTTTTTAAACACCAGGAAATGAGGAATATCTTCAATAAAGACATTTGTTGAACTACATATGATCTGAAATGATGTGGCAGACGTCAGCTTTAGTTGATAGTTTCAGCCTAATGCAAATAACAGGGCACAAGATCTACAAGGGCCTTATGACTGGATTTTGAAATACCTACTCCTGAATTTTAGATTTGGTGCAAACAAAAGAGTGAGAAGAAACACTGAATTTCACTGTAGGGCTCAGAGTCTTTTCAAATCAGCTGATTTTTAGGAAGTGCCTTGGCAGGTATTTCTCACTGTTCAAAAAACATGTTTCGCTTTCCCTTAAAAAAAAATAATTTGCCTCCTTATTGTTCCTGTGCTACTAATTTGTACTTTATACATAATTAAACAGACATCTAGGAGGTTTAAGTGACTTGATAAAAATGCTCGTCTTGGTAAAAACTCTTGGTAAAATAATTTTTCACTGAAAATCAGGAATCGAAACTAAAGCACTTTATTTTCTGGTCTGTTGCTTGATCTCCACGTGGACATCTGGTCAGTTTATATTGCCTTTAAGAACATTTAAACTGATATTTGGATGAATATATAGCACTGACAGAATCAAAAGGAAAAGCACTTAAACAGTCAAAAGCAAAGTTACCAGGGAGACATCAGTAAACCCTCCTTTTACCTGCATCAAGTCAATACTTAAAAAAACAAGCTTTGCAAACAATTCCGGCCGCCAAAGCTGCAAATCCCATTTCTCTGAGAGCAAAAAGCAAATCAATGATAATTAAAGCTCCTCTGCAGAGGCGGCTCCGACCCTCCCGAGTGCTGTGAGACAGCAACACTGTCCAGGAGTCAGACCTCGAGAAAAACCCACACAGGCCATTTTCTGGGAGAAGACCAGATCAAATAAATCTTTGTTTTCCTAACCTTTGTTAAGTTGCAAGTCTCCTTTTTTGGAAGAAAACCGAACCAACAATCCCCGAATAATCGGGAGCGAGGGTTTCAGTGCCCGGGGAACACACAGAGCCCACTCCTCCTATCAAACACCACAACCTCGGGCACCACAGCAGGGACTGGGTCCAAAATATATGTCTGCTTTGGAAGGGGGGGGTATTTTTAATTTACCTAATGTCTACTCGAAATTCCGTATGTAAAATAAACGTGGCTCCGCACGCAGCAGCGATTACAATGCAGGAGAGTCGCCTCTTGAGTTAAACTGAGCATAAAAATGTGATGTATTTGACCACATGGCCTTTTGCTGCTTATAAATTTGCATTTCTCTTCATACAGTAACTGCTGCATTGGCTTTGTTGTGAACTTATGGCTGTGCATGGAAACGCTGCAATATCAGCTGCCCAAAACGAAACTGAATTGTTGCTGTTGTTTGACAACGTGCAAAACACTCACTCACATCATGGAAAACAGAATGCTTGATTTGCAGCGAGCTCTCAATTTGTCTTTCCTTCAGGTTTGCTCATATATGGACCCAATTTTAACAAGAAAGTGTATTTTTTGCTGAAGTTTTTTGAAACCGCCTGCAAAGGACTGGGAGAAAATACTGGGGGGGAAGATTCCTGCTTGGTCTTCCATGAGAAATAGTCATTTACACACCTACACACACATATTACGCATATTTTCTTGTGAGTTTTATTCAAGTTTAAAGCTCTAAGTTAAATAGAAGCCCCTTTCTAAGCCACAGCACCACCATGTGCTGGGATGGGACACTGTGCCTGCTCTCCAGAGGGAGAGCCTGTCCCTGTGCACACCCCCCCTGCACACTGAGGGGTCAAAATCACACCACAACCAGCAGAAAATAGTTCAGCTTTCTACCTGAAACACCCACTGAACGTGTGAGGCTGTGTGTGAATCCCCCCTCCCATCAGTCCCTTTAAACTTCGAGATTTAAGGTCAGACACTGCCAAACCTTGATTTTAAAGCAGATAATTCTATAGGGCTTCTCTTCTCCTTTGTTTTTTTGATCCACTGCTCCAGGCACCTCTGATATACATCAGGAAAGGAAAAAAAAAATCCATCCATCCCCAGCAGTGAAGGTCCTGGCAAGCCCTTCAAACCAGCCCGAGTTTCAGAGCCATTCAGCACCTTCAGCTGTCCTTGAGATGAATGGTTAACGTGAGTGTGAAACAACACTGCAAATCAGAGCCCTGGTTTGCCAGCATACATCTAAATATAAGCTAAGTGTCTATCTTCAGGCTGCCAAGCCTGATTATTTTTGGCTGGTACACATAATATACAACGCTATGAATCACTCTGTGTAATGCTCCAGGCCCGTGGTGTTCTGCTGGCACAGCTTTGTGGGGAGGGGAAGAAATCCTGGAGTGGGGAGCCAGGGGGGTTTGGGAAGGGGCTGCCCCGGGCCCAGCTCACCTGTAGGGCTGTTCCCCCGTGTGCGTCCGCAGGTGCCGCGTCAGGTTCGCTGAGCGGGGGAAGATCTTCCCACAGTACCTGGGGAGAGACAGCCAAGGGAACCGTCAGGGCAGGAGCCACACCACACCCACCTCACCCACCCTCACACCGCCCCCAAAATCCCTCAGGGCACTCCCAGCTCCCTCCTGCACCGAGGGGGGAAGATGTGCAGGTCAAAACCCACCCCAGAATAACGGGGGTCACAGAGGTGACACGGGAGCACAGACTGATGGGGAGCTGGGGGGGCTCAGCCTGGAGAAAAGGAGGTTCAGGGGGGACCTTCTGGCTCTACAACCCCCTGACAGGAGGGGGGAGCCGGGGGGGGTCGGGCTCTGCTCCCAGGGAACAAGGGTCAGGTACAACAGAGACAGAGGTTTATCATTAAAAATCAGTGACTTGCTCCGAGAGGAGCTGTTGGAGCTGGGAAAGGCACTCGAAGACTTCTGTGTGTCTGAAGAAGTTGCTTCCTGCGTGCCATTGTTTGCAATGCCCTCATTCTGCACAGCTGAGATGGACAGAGCAGAGATGGACAGAGCAGAGATGGACACAGCTGAGACGGACACAGCAGAGATGGACACAGCTGAGATGGACAGAGCAGAGATGGACACGGCTGAGATGGACAGAGCAGAGATGGACACGGCTGAGACGGACACGGCTGAGATGGGCACAGCTGAGATGGACATGGCTGAGATGGACAGAGCAGAGATGGACACAGCTGAGATGGACCCAGCCGAGGCTGTGCTGGCATTGGAACCACAGTGCTCGCTGCCACACACCAGAGCCTTGGCCTGGGGAGCTGGGCCAGCCTGAGAATCTCCAGATCCGCTCTCAGGGTTATTAAAAATCACAAAGCAAACAGAAGATGCTGATTTCCTACCAGACAAAACAAGCTATTTCAGAGGGGATTAGTCATCCCAAGGCTCTGGGCTAATTCTGCTGCTCCTCGTTTCCCCTCCCGCCCCTGGGGAGGCAGCGGAGATGTCCCTGGTCCCTCCTGGTGCCCAGTGCAGCAGCTCCCCAGCCTGGGGGGCATCTCCCGGGGTGCCCCCATGCCCTGGGGATGCTCTGGCCCCCGGGGTGCCCGTCCCTCACCTGCAGGTGTAGCGTTCCTTGCCCTTGCGCAGGATGGGGTCGGACAACGTGGGCGGCGGCGATCGGAAGTTGAAGGGGTGGTGGGGAAGGGGCTGCAGGGAGGTGCCAGTGTCTGCCTTCATGGCTGCAAAGCTCTCCAGTTTCTCCGTCATGGTTTCGATGGCTGACATCTGCAAGGACAAGGGGAGACCTCGTGTCACGAAAACCCAGGGGAAGAGCAGGAGCTGCTGCACAAAACGCCACTTTCAGCTCCCGTGGGTCGGTCAGAGATTGTTGCTGATGTTTGATCTCACTCTTGGAAGCTGCACAGCGGGAAATGGAGCCACTGATCCCAGCCAGGGAAGATAGGAGCAGTGTACTGGTCTTGGGGAAATCAGGAAAGACACAACTGGCCAAGCCAGGACTTTGGATCCCAGAAATCAGCACTTGTTCACCTTCTGCAATGTGCCTGTGCTCGCTTTCAGCGTTTCAGAGTAAAAGTTATCTCAGAACATGCCTGTTTGCCCTTTTTCCAGGAATAAAACTGAAACTAAGCACCATGGTCAGATGCCAGAGGTAGAACTCAGCACCCAAATTCTCCTCTCAAACTCAGATCCAAGCCTTGGGAAGCAGGGAGGTCTGAGGTCTCCTGCAGCATCCTCTGTCCTCCCGGGGGCTCAGGGGGACGGGGCAGGGAGCTGTGGGGGAGCAGAAGGGACACGACCCCAGGTGTGAGGGGACAGAGAAGTTTTGGGCAGGAGGCAGAAGAATTCAGGCCAAAGTGGGGTGGGAGGGATGTGTGATGGCTGCTCAGGGAGCTGAGAGAGGACAGGCTGAGGCTGGAGGGGTGAAAAGGGAGCAGCTGGGAAGAGGAGGAGTTAGGATCAGGCTCAGGATGGAGTGGATCCCCAGAGAGCTTGCCTAGCAAAGAGGCCAACACTTTAATTATATGTAGGAAAGGTTCAGCAGCCAGTAAAGGTGATGGAAGGATGGGTGGGAGATGGCTGAGCTTCCTGCAGTGAAAGGGAACTCCGGCCAAAGCCCTGGATGTGAGCTGTGGCTGGGTGAGTTACAGTCAGCAGGACCAACAGCTACACATCCTGCTGGGATGGGACACCGAGGGAAATGCCCCTGGGTGCCTTTAGCAGCTTTAGTTTGTATGACTTTGCAACAGCTGTGTGCTCACCTACACACTGGGGTAAACACCACACCTGAAAGAGGGAGAAAGGGAAAAAGCTGGAGATACAGGAGAAGGGGAAAACAAAAAAAAAGGAAAGAAAAAAGTTGGTCTGTGTGGGGGAAAAAAAAATGGATTTGCATAAAAATCCTACCTAAAGAAAAGCACTTTTACTTTCATTAGAGCAAAACTGGAAATCCAGAATCCAAGGGAGAAGTGCAGCTCAGAGGATGACGCTGACATCTCCAAAATCCAGCTTCGTGCTCTCCTGAGAGCACTTTCCAGATACCAAGAGCAGAAGAGAGGGATAAAACAAACAAGGCAGCAATAAAGCTGCCTCCTGGCTGTGCTGACATCCCCGGGAGCACGGGGGGAGCAGGGCTGGCTGCAGAGGGGGGCGGAAGGCAGTAGGAAGCCATTTATCACCAGGAGATGCTCTATTGTACAGGAAGGGCTGACCTTTTGCACGTTTACACTTTATTAAACTGGGCTGGGGGGGGGCAGAGGGGGAAGAGAGCCAAGATATTGTTTAAAAATATACGACTATTAAAAAAAAAAAAAAAGTTGTGTTAATCTCCCAAGAATACATTGTGGAAATCTGACAGCCATTCATAAGCTGCAAAACAAGAGGAGTAGTAACCCCCATCCCCTGATAATAGATCCACGGCCCCTTGGTTGGAGGCTCCCAGCCCATGCTAAATTGTAAGTAATACTTAGCACCAGCCACTTGAAAAGGTTACTTGATCATTTACAGCAGCAGCCCTGCCCCAGCTGCCAGTCATGGAACAAAACCATCACGTTAAAATGCTCTCTGGCCCTTTCAGAGCCCTGCACTCAGCCCTTTGCCGGGGTACCTGGAGCTACCCTTTGTTGTGCCCTGTTCTTTAGGCACTTAGTCAGAGATGTTTGCTGCCTTCAGAGCCGTAGGCTGGTTTTAAAATTCTAAACATTGGCCACAGCAAAGGCACTTTGCTATTTAGGGAACAACTGCCTGGTTATAATAAAGAAGAAAGGGAGAAGAAAAGAAACGTAACAGGTGAGAAAAGGTCCTCCATTAAGTTATCAAAAAGTTACACTGGCTATTTATGCTGTCCAGGGTTTAATTTGGAATAGACAATGTGGGAAAACTCCCAGAGAGCAGAGGAACTTCTGCCAACGACTGGCTGAAAAATAAGAGCTGCCTGAAATTCATTGTGAGAGAGAAAACGTCTTCTGAACACTTTTATCACAACTTCTGCTTCCTCCCATCCCACTGAGGGCTCTGTGAGAGCTGGGGGATGAGTCACAGAGGAAAGGGCTGAGGCCAGACTCATGTTTAGAGGGAGACAAGACCAGGTGGATCCAGGATCTTTTCCTAAGGATCTAGAATTTTAGGAATCTAGGATCCAGGGGGGTGGTGGTCAGGGCCCCAAGGCTGCCAGAGCTCAAGGAGTGTTTGGACAATGGTCTCAGGCACAGGGTGGGATTCTTGGGGTGTCTGTGCAGGGCCAGGAGTGGGACTTGATGATCCTTGTGGGTCCCTTCCAACTCAGGATAATTCCATGATAATATTGGAAGGGGATCTGATAGTAAAAATCTCACATACTCTGGAACAAATGCCCCGTCTTCCTGTGCTGTGTTTGAACTCCCTGCTGGACTGCACATGGGAACAGCAGCTCTCCAGCCCCAGGGATCTGTACCCAGCACATGCTTCATTAGAACCAGTTATCAGGAAGTTTTGAGCTCTAGTGATTGTAAATTTTGGGCTATTCTGTGTGATAAGCTGTTAGAGATAACCAGACCTTCCACATCTTTTCATCGCCATGGGAAGAGGACGTGGTCAGGATTTCGGGAACAATGTTAACAACCTTCCACCCAAAGCTTTGCTCCTGCTCAGGGTCTGGACGTTTCTCATCGTCTCGTTGGTTTGCTTTGCCACACTGGCTCCTCCCTGCTATCAGATTCTTTACAGGCAGATATCCCCACTATTCTAACTCACACAAACACAGGATGTTCCTGGCCAGCCTGTCACCATTATCCAGCCTGGATGAAGGAAAAATCGGGGGAAGTTATTAACCAAACTCTGAGGCTGGCGCGAAACAATGAGGGAACTAAGTTTAGCTGTGAAAGCAACCAGGATCCAGCTTTCACAAACCTGCAAGTTATTTATCTAAGGTGGGAAACACTATCAGGGGGAGAACAATGCATGTGAATATAAAGGAGAGCACAATAAGGACCCCGGGGCTGGGATCCCAGCCTGGCCACAGCAGGAGGAATGGGGATGGCTGGTGACCATCACAGCTATTGGAGCAGGCACAGCTGAACCCACTGCCCGGCTCCTCCACACGCTGCAGGTGATGGCAGGGAACACCAGGCAGGGACAAAATGCTGCTGCCTGGGTGCTGGACAGTCATTCTGGCAAATGAACACACCAGGGGTTCCCGAAGGAAAATCCACCCAGGCGTTCTGGCCTGGGAAAGGGGAGTTCAGCAGAGCTGCCCAAACCTCATCCCTGTTCCTCTGGTAATGCCAAAGGGAACATCAAGGCATAACTGCCACCATCCTCAAACCAGGCACAGATAAAAGTGTCTGAAAGTAACTGGTGGAACACAGTGGACATTCCAATCAAGCCCTTGGATGAGGAGGAGTCAGATCCCAGTGATGCCAGTGCCCTGACTGCACCAGCTCCATCCCAACCCCCTGGTATTCAACCACAACAACGTCCCTGCTGTTACCTGGGGGTGGAAAAGCAGCGGGGAGGGTCGCAGGTACTTCTCCTTTAGGGCACCCACAGGGTCTGTCACCTTCCGCTTCTCCACCCTGCTGGACAACAACACAGAGGGTTACATACCCCACAGGCAGCAGGGGCACAGCCAGACCCTCTGCAGGGGGCTCAGTCAAACACACGGGGTTATTCTCCCGCTGACACAAATGTCTTCCCTCCCCTTCTGCTGGAGACTCCAAATTCTGACCCACAACTACCCTGCAAAAGGCGCTGGGAATCACAGGAACACAGACCCCCTCCTCTGGGCACTATTTGTTCAGCCATCAGACCGACGACTAAGAAAATATTTTGCTCTTCTGTAGTGCTTTATAAGCCTCTGCTGCTGTGAAATGTCATGAAACCCCTGCATTTACAGCAAAAGCAATGTCTGAGTGGGAGAAGCTCTGGAGCCCACAGCAGGCAGCCCCTGCACGGAAAAGAACTTGTCTTTGAGAGTTTGTATTAATCCAAAGAGTTAACACTGGGCCAGACCTCGCAGCCCCAAGCGTGCTGAAATCATTAGGTGTTTCATATTTATTTCCTCCCTCGCAGCTGAGATATAATTTGCATTGAGTTTCTTTGGTAAGCACGTGTGGACAACAATTTAAAAAGTGAGGAACTGGTGGGAGAGTTCTGAAGCACCTTATAAACCTGAGTTCTTCTGGTTATCACCTTGGGCCACTCAAATATTTCATATTTAAGCGCCTGATATACAAAAATGACCCGAAAGTGAGGTTCCTATTTTTGTAAATACTGGCTTTGCTTTCACAAAATATTCTACTTGAAGGGAAACCGTGGTGTGGAATCACCAAAAAGACAAACTGAAATGTCCTCTGTGGGAAAAAAGTGTTATGGAAGTAGCTCCAACAAACACAGCTGCCTCTTTAAATGACTGGAATTGAGTCCATCCAGCTCAAACAGCAGAAATCCAAGAGTACGAGTAATTTTAACTACATTAGTCCAGCATAAACGAGAGCAAATTATTTTGCTGCATTTCAGCTGATTGGTGCGTGGATCAAGTTACCAAAGAGTTTAAAGAAGAGCCCTGCAGAGTGCAGGCAGTGAACTGTACTTAATCTGCATTTAATTCTTCTTGGGTAGAGGGAGAGAGAAGAGCTGGGTTGGAAATGCCATCCGAGTTACGGGGCTTTGCAAGGTATGTGCTTTTATGGGCATGAGTTGCCAGAAAAGCAACAATCTGTCAATGGATATGTAAAAAGTTGCTCCCTGAGACCCCAAACCGGCCCAGCTTTGCTCCCCCTGGGGTTTGTGACGCCCAAGGGAACATCCCTGACCCCGGCAGAGGCGTCTGCAGAGAGCCCTGCCTGCCCACAGGCGTAAAATTGGGTGAACTGACAGCGTTTCACCGGCTTTACCATCTCCCAGCACAGGGAATGAGAGCTCAGCAAGGTCCTCACAGCCTCGTCAGAGCTGAATTCCGGTGCCCGCAGGATTAGAGCCGCTGGTCTCAGCCTGAGAACGTCACCTTCACAGGCCCAGCTCAGAACTGCCCCGCCTTCAGCCTGGCTGGCTGCATTAAATTATATCACCAGGAGAAAATGTCAAGGATTTAAGTGGCCTTTGGGAGAAAAACGGAGGAGCCAAATGATGTGAGAGAGCCTGATAAAGGGAAGTTTAGAAACAAAATATTTCCATGTTTTTCAAGCTGGGACTTGGAAGCTGGGCTGTTTTAGCTCATGACATCACAGGTCTGATTTGCAAGCAGCCCCACCGTTGACTTTCTATTTTAACATATTACTAAAACTATGTGCATCCCATGGAATGCAACAAATGATGCCCCCATCCCTCACTTCCATCTGTCTTCTGGACCTTTACGGTTTTCCCGAGGCCGCTGTTTTAATTGGCAGCGGCTTTTCCAGCTCATGTTGTTTTAACATTCCTGCTGATAATGCCCAGAGGTGGCAGGATCCGACACTTTTGCCTTTCTATCCCATTTATTGATTTTATTTTTTTTCTCCCAGGAGTATTTTTTACAAAAACAAATGCTGGACTGTTTGTATCCTGACTGATTTCTCCAGGAGGAGATGGGAGATGGCCACGGTGGGTCCCAGGCGGGACACGGCCCCTCCTGGGCTGGGATGCAGCATTTCCATCCCAGATGGCACACAGGCAGTGCTGCATCACCCCCCGAGCTGGCAGAGCCACCATCCAGGGCTCACTGATCCCAGCCCAGCAGCTCCTTGGCCTGGCCAGACACTGACATCACTTCTCCCCCCAGTTATCAGCCGAAGGCAGCAGCCTCAGCGACACTGGGGATGTTCTGGTGCTGTTTGCAGCCCTTTGAATGCTCAGGTGACCCATCCTGGTGCTGACACGTCACGCCGTGGTGACTCTGAGGCTTTCCAGCACCAGGAACACACCGGCTCCTGCAGCACATCCCTTAACCTTCCAGCAGGCTGGACACAGGGAGGATCACCAGGCACACAACTCACATTCAGCCCAAGGGATGCAAGGACAAACCCTTCACCTCCAGGAACCGGCTGGACACTGAATCCAGGAGCCTTCCAGGCCAAACACACGTATCCCAATGGATGACACGAAGCATTTAGACGTGTTAATATCTAAGTTAACATTAATTAATATTTTGACACGCTGATGTCTAAATCAAACTAGCTGAGGACCCTTCTTTTCACTGGGCTTTGCTAAAACCAAACGTGCCACATCCACCTCATCCAGAGCAGGACGACACCAAAGGTGGTGCCGGTGCCTGGATGGGTGACACACAGGTTTGCTGGTACCCCCACCATAAAGCTTTACATCATTTTCCTTTAGACACAGATTTTTACAAAAATCCCTCAAACAACAAAAGGCTCAAATCTTCCCTTTGCAGCTCCTGAATCCATTCCTTCTGGAAGTTTAACTGGCAATTGGATAACTTCACCCAGCCTGCTCTACACACGCCTTCCACGCTCAGCTCACTCTAGGCATGACGTAAGGCATCAGGCCCTCCTCAAAACCCATCTGTTCAAGTGACACTAGAAAACCCTTGCTGTCTCCTAAGACAGAAAAGTCTGCTAGAAACGTCTCTGGGAGAGATCTGGGTAGTAACACACTACCATGTGTTTACACAGCACTTGTTACTCCAGGAGTAACGAGTTTCGTCAGACTCGATCTGCAGCAGCGGCTCCTCCGAGCTGAGAAACTCTTAAGAAAAGGCACCAGAAAGAAAAAGAGGGTGGGGGGGGAAGAAAGGTGAAGTGGCTCACAAAAGGCCATCAAGTCAGTCAGTGGGAGAGCTGCATTTCCAGGCTCCCAGGGCTCCTGACTCATTCCCAAGCCATGAGAGCCCGGGCTCCGAGGCATCTGAACTCTGCATTCTTATCGAATCAAACCTCTGGAATTTCCCCAGCAGAAGTGCCATCTTAGCCATGGCTCGTGGGAGAGTCCTTAAATAGGTCAAGTTTCTTCTTTATCAAAATAAGGATGTGTTCTTTACACACATTGATTACAAGGGCTCCTCGCAATTACTCTGCCCTTCCCATTCAGGAAATTCAACGTGCTGAGGAGCACAAACACCCACAGACAGGGGTTCACTGCTCTTTCCAAACAACCTACATCCCCACCTGCCTCAAGGTGTGATGCCAGCTAGAAAATGAGCTGGTCAGAGAAAGGCTTAAGGCAGGGTATGTTAATACCTGTAGATGGGGTCCATGAAAAAGGGCGATGGCTTAGCATAGTGCAGGGACGGCTGCTGAGGCAGCTGAGACTGGGAAATCTTGGGTAAGACCTCGCTTGCCATCAGCTTCCTCTCCCCATAGATGTGGTTTTTCCGTGGCTCTCTTCCTCCGTTCTGGCTGGCTCGGATGCGGTTGCCAATGCTCAGATCCAGTGGCTGTTCCTCCCCCGAGGACGGGGCTGGCAGGACCTTCGGGGGCGGCAGGATTGGCTTAATCTCTTTTGGCTTCGTGGTGAGATCGAAGGGGGACTCCGAGCTGGTGCTGCCCACTTTGTGGAGGTCCCTGGGTGACTTTGGTTCTGCCTTGACCAGCAAGTTGTGATTGAGGGTCCGCTCCGTGAAAGGGTAGAGGGAATGGGGGAAATTGGGGAGGAACTGAAAGGGGAACATGGAATGATACGGGAGCGAACCCATCTTTTTCTCCTGCATCCCCATAAAGCCGGGCCCAAAATACTTCTCTGCAATGGAGGCGATGGCTTTGATGGAGTCATTGGCTGCTCCCGTGGTGGGCAGCAGATGCTCCTCGGGGGGAGGAAAGAAGGAATGCTGAGAATAGAAGAGAGGGATCTCGCTGGCGGTGTTGGTGGAGCTCGCAGACACAGAGCTGCTGACGAAGTCTGGCTTGGCCTCCATCTGTTTGCTCTTGTCTTTCGCCTTGTCCCTGTCGCTCTCTGCGTCGCTGTCCAGGTCAGACCCCGTGCCAGTAGTGGTGTCCAGGTCCGTGCCCGTGGTCGTGTTGACGTCCTCAAAGTCACTGCCATCGGACATGTCACTGTTCCTGGCTTTTAGCTTCTCCAGGTAGGAGTTTTCCAGGCTGCTTTCACATTTCTCCTCCCCGGAGGGGGCCTGGTTGCTGTTGCTCACCGCGGAGATCAGCGGCAGCGCCGGGTTCCCGAGGGGGCTGGGGAGCTTCGCGTCCGGAGTGTGGTTGAGGGGGCTCTTGAGCAGCTGCGTGGGCGGTAACAAGGGGGGCCTGGGGTACAGAGAGGGCGGGAAAATGCCCGGGAATCCCGGGGTGAGGGCGGGAAAGGCCGGGGGGGCAGGTGAGAACGGGAGGCCCCCGGGGTGCGGGCGGGACGGGAAATAATCGTTAAACCCCAGGCCGGCGTGGTTGAGGTTGGGAGAGGGCTTGGACTTGTCCATCATGGAGGTGGGCGTCAGGGGCAGGCCGGGGGCGAAGATGCCGCCGGGGCTGTAATGGTTCTTGCCCTCGCAGAAGCGGCGGTGCTTGTTGAGGGAGGAGGTAGTGCTGAACATCTGCCCGCAGTCCTTGCACTTGATCTGCGTGCGGCAGTCCGCGTGCATCCGCTTGTGGCGGCACAGGTTGGAGAACTGCGTGTAGGACTTGTGACAGACCTCACCTAAAGCGTCAACAGGAACCAACAACAAAAGCGATATGAAATTACCAGGAAATGGCTCCCCCGGGGGCTCCCCCTCAGCCTCCCCCCAGCCCGGGGTCCCCCTTCCCTGGAGCCAGGATGGTCAGAGCAGCTGAGGGAGCCCACCGCCCTTCCCCTGGGATGAATCCCATCCTGGGGATTGTCTCAACAAGCAGCTCCACGGAAACCTGAGGGGATGTGCTGCTCCTGATCAAATTTTTGGGGAATTTTCAGTAAAGATGATTGTGGAATCCCAGAATGGTTTGGGATGGAGGGGACCTTAAAGCCCATCCGGTGCCACCCCCTGCCATGGGCAGGGACACCTTCCACCAGCCCAGGTTGCTCCAAGCCCTGTCCAACCTGGCCTTGGACACTTCCAGGGATGGGGCAGCCACAGCTTCTCTGGGCAACCTGTGCCAGGGCCTGCCCACACTCACAGGAAAGGATTTCTTCCCAATTTCCAGCCTAAATTTCCAAGTGAAGCTACATCAGCGTTTCCTTTAACACCCTGCAAATACCAAGCTTTCAAAGCGTGGATTTTTATGACCCCTTTCACCTACAGACTTTGCTGGTGTGGGAAGAGCAGGGCAAAGTGAGACAAAATTCCCACCCAGACTCTTCTATACATCAAAACACTGTAACTTTTCATTATCTGCTGCCTCTTTCAACAGAGGAATAAATCCCACGTGGTGGTGAAGGAACACACTCCTTCCACCGGAGAACTGCTGTTATCACCCTTTGTGAGGAGACAAAGAGGGGGGAGGATATTGTTTGGAGTTGGGCAGGCAAGGACACGAATCCCAGCTCTCCTGACACCCAGTCCTACAACTCAGGGACCAACCACGTGCTCCTTCCCCCCTCCCTCCCTCCCAGCTTTACTGACAGGTAAACGAGAGCACGATTTTCCCTGTTTTTTTTCTAAATTTTTAGGATTTCCATCAGTGCTTGACTATCAAATGACTGGTGACAGAGTTGTTTCACCAGCAGCTCTGAAAACATAATAATATAATAAATTTCAATTGAAGTTCAAAGCAGAGATTAATAAAATTTGATGTATTTGACATTTCAGTTCAGATGAGTGTTCCAAAATCCAGTGGACTGTCACTAAAGAGGCTGCTTTCTGGTTGCACTGGAAATTTAACCTGAACTGTCTTTCTGGAATTGTTCAAAAAACATGGGGATGTGGCATTTGGGGACATGGTTTAGTGGTGAACACTGTGCTGGGCTAAAGGTTGGACTTGACGGTCTTAGAGGGTTTTTCCAACTGTAACAATCCTATGATACCACAATTCTTCCATTTTTCACCCCAGGAATTTTTGCTAGATATATATGATAGTGCACAAAATTCCCTAAAAATAGGGAAAACTGGAGAATATCTGTTAAATCTCCAGTTGTACAACGATTTAGTAACTCCTTGTGAAATGTCCTCTCTCACCCTTCTGAGTTCTGCAGTTAAAAAGTTACAGGTTTGGGGTCTTTTTAAAGCCAGATATAATATGGTAAAAACCCAAACAAATGCTCACACAAACCCTTTTTTTCCATTGAATGGGAAAGAAAAGTTTCCTGGTGGATCCTGCCCCGTGGATTTGAAGTCACTAATGGGTTCCACATTGATCCTGTGACTGCCCCTGGCACCTCTGCCCAGGCAGGATCACCCTCCAGTTGTTTCACACACTGACCTGGCCTGACAACTCCCTAATTCTGATGAGGTGAGAGTGAGGAGATTATGGGGAGAGACCCCTCATGTGCTGCAGCAATCCTGAGTCAAATCATCTCTTTCATGTGCCCGTCACCCAATGAGAGGTGCCAGCAAAATGAGCAAGAAGAGCATTTCTTCTTCCTCCGCTGACCCCCGGCTGGTTACTGCAGGACAGTTTAATGAACTGGGTCTCCCAGAACACCCCTGCATGCTGTTCCCATTACAGAACAGGGAAAAAAAGGCAGCAGTGGGTTCAGTGCCTTCCCTACCCCAACATCAAAGCCTGGAATCAAACCCAGATCCCGGCCTGCGCCTGGACGACGTGTTCTGAAGTGTCAGGAAGTGATCCCTGAAGTTCCTGGGGCTTTGTTGTGACACAACCACCTTCCTGCTCAGTCATCCAAACCCAATAGGTGCTGTGTCAATTAAAAAAATATACAACCCTGGGAATGACAAGGGACGAGATGGATGGCTCTCCAAGGAAAATGCCCTTCTGGAAATATCCTAAGGAGAGCACTGAGGACACAGCTAATCTGCTGTTTATTTGGCTTCCAGCACTATCTAGATGAAACATGCAGTAAATAAAGAAGAAAAAAACCCTCTTTTTAAAAAACACCTTCTCAGTCTCTGTGACTACTCCAAGTTCTTTACAATGGTTACAGGATTTGAGGCATCCCTGAAAAACATTTTGACCAGGCCATGTCAGCTATTTATCTGTGTCACCAACAGGAACATTCGAAAATTACCCAGGCAAAAAAAGACGAGAGAGAGAAAAGATATGAGAAAATGGCATCGCTGGGACCGCTGAGAGACTCAGCTCTTAACTCCTCAAGAAAGTCAAAAACCACCAGCAATGTTTACTGAAAAAAACAGGGAGCATACAAAAAAGAATTAAAAAAAATAATAATAAAAAAAAAGAGAAATCCCAGAGGAATTTCATCTGGAGCTCCGAGCTCTGAAATCACAGCGGGGGGACAGGAGGGCTGGGGGGATACCTGCAATTCCAGCCTGGGATGGCCGGGACAACTTACATATGAAAGGTTTGACAGTGCTGTGGATGTGCTTGTGCTGCTTGAGGCCCGAGGAGGTGGCGAAGGTCTTGCCGCAGTCGGGGCAGGCGTGGGCTCGAGCCCCCACGTGCTGCGAGCGGATGTGCCGCTGGAGGTTGCTGGGGTCCGTAAACACCTGAGGACACACCAGGAGCAGGAGGAGAAGAGACTGCACGTGAAAAACTTGACAATTCAGGCCTTTTTTTTTTGTCCCAGATACTCGTGATACAGATTAGGGCTGTGGGTGCCCTGCCAGGCTGTGGCACCTCCCTCAGTGTGGGATGCTGGCGGTTTGAGGGGTGTTTGCTCACCCACACCTGCCACCCCAGTACCTGGGAAATGGCCAAAGGGGAGTGGGTTGGGGCAGGGCTGAGCTGCACCCCCCACAGTGGGATGCCCAGGACAGTGAGGACACCTCCCTGTGCTGGGGACAGCAGGGGCACCTCTCCCCATATTGCCCTGCCCGGGGCCAGCACGGGTCACCCATCCCCTGCACCCCCTCCCAGGGTCCTGTCCCAGGTGAAGCCCCCCCCCATCACCCGTGTCCCCACTGTACCTTAACACAGTTTTCACATTCAAACCGTTTCCCACTGTCGTGAGACATTTGGTGGCGGATCAGGTTGGATTTCCAGTTGAAAGCCTTGGGACACTGGTCACACTTGTACTCCCTCTCCTCCGTGTGGATCACCATGTGCTGCTCCAGGCTGGGGGAGAGAGAAGGGCTCACCTGGGGCAGCAGCAGGAGCCCAGCCCTGGGCACCCACTGCCAAGGCAGGGGCTGTCACCTGGGGGGTCTGAGGGCAGAGAGGTGACAGAGGGGGTGACAGAACCAGCCCGTGGGGTGTTTGCAGAGTTATCTGGTGCCTCAGAGTAGGAGGGGGGCAGCTCATGGACCATGAGAGGGGCAGTGGCACCAAACACCATGAACCTTTTAGCATTTATTTCACTGTTGGAAGCTGCCCTGTTCTGCCTCAAAATATCACTGTATCTTATGGTATTTCTGATTAATACTTGAGTCCATTTACAGGGGGGAAAGGAAGGCAAACCCAGCTCTGACCCTGCAGGTTTGCTGAGGGGAAAAACGGGCACTTTGTGACCCAGACTCCTGTGGCATCCCCCAGGGAAAGACAAGATATCCCCTGCTGCTGCTGGGACTCTCACATTGCCTTTTCACGGGCACCAGGCCCAAGGCTTCCCAGAACACAGAGACTCAGCGTTGGGGAGAAACAGGATAAGGTGCAAACACATTTCACTTCTAAATGTCAGACATCTTTTGGTGACTCAACTTGGCAATTCCACCTTCTACCAACTGGCAGCGCCTCCAGAGCCAGGGGGATGATGGCAATGCCAAGTGGCTGCTGGCACAGGGCCATGGCAGGGATGGCACACGGTGCTCTGTTCTCCCTGTGCCATGGGAAACCTGCACCTCCCTGGCCAGGAATCCTGCGGCTCTCTGGCCAAAAATCCTGCACCTCTCAGGCCAAAAGTCCTGCATGTCCAGCCAGGAATTCTGCACCTCTCCGGCCAAAAACTCTGCACCTCTCTGGCCAGAAATCCTTCACCTCTCAGGCCAGGAATTCTGCACCTCTCAGGCCAGCCCTGAGAAATAAGGGAAGGAAATTTGCACCCTTTGCTTCTTTCGGGGTAGTTTAACAGGAGTTACAAACACTCCCCTTACTGTGAATTCTGATGAAGGACCAGCTCATGTGAAATCTCCTCCTGCCTGAAATCCCTACAGGTAGATATTAAATCATTCCTATGGAACTTGAAAGCATGGCTGCATTTTTATGGGAATATTAAAGCTGAACACTACTGGGAAATCCTGCCAGTCTGCATTAAATGCCACAAGGAAGATACCCCCTGGGTACCCAGGGATCACCTCAGCCTTGGCACATGCTCAGGACTCCTCTGCTCCCACTCTCCTCAGAGGCTGTGACCATTCTCCATCCAGCCCCTGGCTGCTCTCAGGTGGGGCAGGATGGATCTGGTGTCCTTGGAAATTCCCAGAGGAAAGGGGAATTCCATCCACAGCTGCCCTGCACTGAACTCTCCGTGCCCTGAGATGGTGGCAACACTGTGCAAGGTGGTTCATCACGAGTGGGTCTGGGGGCTGCAACCAGCCTGGCCACTCCCCACCCAAACCTCTGCAGCCACCAGCCTCCTGCTCCCCTGGAGAACCTCCCCTGCTCCCAGCCAGGTAGTTAATATTCATGGACATGCCTCTTATAAACTGCCAATCCACTCATTTTAAAGAAGCAATATTCATTTTGCTGAAGAAACGGTGTTCTTAAAACCACCAGATTTTCTACACATCCAAAGTAACATAAACCTTGCACATACACATCCAAAAATACACTCCTTTTAACTGTGATTTATGAGTTTATTTACAGCAAATATAGACAAACTAATATACTGTTTAGAGGCAAGTACCTACTGGGATTAGCAAAACATTTATTTATTTAGTCAGCTGCTAAATGCTCCATTTCAGGTCCCCAGTGGCACTCTTGACTTGATCTGTATTAACTTCTGAAAAATTCTAAGACCATCTAGGCACACTGAGTGGGTATATTGTGTGTTTTAGTGGCCTTAAACGTGGCAGATTGATGGGGGAGAGACAGATGTGGACATTCCCTCCCAGCCCCACTAATCCACACTGAATGGGGATGCTGCCAACTCTCTCTTCCCCACCAAAAAAAAATGAACTTTATATTACACATTCCCAAATATTGGGAATCAATGGTTGAACAGGCAACAAACCCACTGAGCCCATGGTGCCAGCCCAGCCCATGAAGCCAGGAACACACAGGGGTTACAAAGAGGACACAACACAGACATTTCAAAAGAGCATTTTCTAAGCTAACCTGAAAATTAGAGAGTGCTGGAAGCTAAAGGGGAGAGAACTTCTGACACCAATGGATCAAAGAATTGGGACTTTTAGTAAAATTGAACACACTGAAAACATTTAAAGGAAGTTCTCCTTGTCTTTTCAGGTAAAAAATTTAAGGAAATTGCTCTCTCATTATCTAATGGAAAGTGGTCAATGTAGAGACACAAGGTGAGGGATAAAGACACCCCCCTGGGCTAACAGGACCCCAGACAGGTATCACAGTATCTATCCCCAACTTTTACACCTCCAACAGCCCAGCCAAGCCCTTTTTGATGCAGATGCATCAGGGAGTGCTCTTAACACTTCACTGCTCTCGAAGTTTTTTAAAATAGATTTTTTTCCTCACTCGCCCAGATCAAAGATCTGAAAGTCTCAACATAATTAAGTTCAAAGTGACAAACGCGTGTTTTTAAATGTTCAGCTGAAGTGAAACAGGCCTTACACGAGCTTTAACCCCCAGGTTTTTGCTCTGCTCACGCAGTGCCTGGCAGGGCATTGCCAGTTCTCACAGTTCATGACAAACCTCGTTCAGCTGAGGAGTCAAAAGAAATGAGAATGTGAGAACTTCAGCCTCCGGTGAACAGAGAGAACTCCGGTTTTATAGAATTTCATAAAGGCTTTTATAAAGGCTTAGGATGCAAATAAACACAACCTTAAAATGATTAAAAAAGCCCCTCAACTTTTTAAAGCTGGCCCCTAATGTTTTACCGTTTGCGTCTCACTTTGCCAATGAATCAAAAATCTCAAGGATCTCTTAAAACCTGTGTTTGATTACTACCACATTAGGCTTAAAAGATGCAAATTTTCAGTTAAAACTCAGGGGCCCAAAAAGTTTTTTTGTATTTTAAAAAAAGTTTAATTCTTGTTTAGAGTTGCCTTATTGTAATAATAACTGAATAATTATGGCAACTAAACCATAAACTGGAGAATATCCAATGTTCCTTTTTTTCACTTTTCACATTTCTATTACAAAAATGCTTGGTGAACACAAACAAAAACCAAACATTTGATTGGAATAGAATAATTTAATTGCTTCTGCAAGATCAAACAGGAGCTCATGACCCTGTTCAGAGATCTCAGGGTAACGATGCCTCTTTAAACCCACTGATCTGCAGTGACCAGGAGTTACCTATAAAAAGCCTTCATGCACACACTGGCAGAACTAATTCCACTGTTTTCCCTCAGAACCAGAGCACATGGGAGCAGATGGTGCAAAGATCCCAAAACCAGGTCCCTCAAGCTCTGTCACAGCCCTGAAGGAGCCACGGGGAACCCAGAAAAAAACCATTTAAACTTCCCATCAACAGTCTGTGGGTGCCTCTCCCAACAAGTAAGGAAAAGCATCAGTCTATGAAATCAAGGTGAAATAAAATTGACACTGCAGGATCCCAAAATGAACATTCCCTAGCCCCATGGAGAAAGGAAAGGTTTATCCCTGCAGCCATCCCAGGCTGCCCCCCTTGGTCCCGTGTCTCCATCCTCGGACAGGCCGGGGAAGGAGAAGGGAGAGGGGAGGCCAGAGGAGGGTCTGGCACTTTTTGGGTACCTGTATTTGTTGGGGAACATCCTCTCACAGTCTTTGCACTCATAGACCTGTCCATCTCCAAGACCTTCCTGCTTGATCTCGTCATTGAGGGTCTCGTAGAGGGAGCTGACGGCGCTGCAGCCGAACTTCTTGTGCCGCCGCAGGTCGAGCTTGGACTGGAAGAGCTCATCACAGTCCTCACAGCGGAACGAGGGCTCCTCTGCAACAACACACAGGGGGTTGGCACTCCTGGGGCACCAAGATCCACCAGGCTGGATTATTTTACCCAACACTAAAGGGAAGGCAAAATTCTGTGAGCATCCGGCAAACAAACAAACGAAGAGCAAATCTGCAAGTGAGGGGAGAGAGAACCCAAGGGAGGCTGTGCCAGCAGCTGCTTTCACTTTAAGCATTAAGAAAAAAAATGTAGATCACACAACCAGAGGAGATCTTGTTTTCTTTGTGTCCTGGCCTCTGCAGAGACAGAGGGACCTACAAGAATTGGTAGACACACAAAATACCGGGTTGTTCTGGAGTGTTGAGCTGCCTGCAAGGAGGGTCTTTGAAAATATGAATGAGTTTTTCCTCAAAAGGGGCTGCCAGGGAAAAAGGAACACCCGAGACTCATATGAACACAGATACTGGGAAAAGCAAACTACCACAGCACAAACCTGGAGAAGCTCCTTTCTAAGAAATTGTCTGTCTAAATGTTCTCCCCTCAACTCGTCCCTCACAACTGCGAGAGCTCAGGGCGTCATCAGCCCGAGGAGTCCAAAACCAGAGCACCATGGAAGGAAGAACAGGGAGCCAAAGGCTTTGTTGCTGTGCTCTTTGCTTTTTCTTCTTTAAAAAAAAAAAAAAAGTTCTAATGCACATAATAAATTACTGTAGTCAAGGTCAAACAAATTAAAAAGAGGGCAGCTATTATTAAGTTTACAAGGCAGCATCCTGACCATAGTGCCAAGCCAAACAATCAGCTCTGAGCTGTAAATTTTCCAGGAGAACAACCTCTGCGAGGGAGTCAGGACAGCTCCGGGTTTCTCCACCCTGGAACAGAAGCTTTCCAGCCCCCACTGAGTCACTGGTGCTGCCTTTCCCTGTCCTGCTCTCCCCTCGTCCTCCGCGGCTCTGCTTCCCATTAAGCCTCGTTCCCTTCTTCTGATCACTTCCCTTTCAAAAGCAAAGCCTGTGGTAAGTGCATGAGCTCAAGGGGAAGAGTGGGAATATTCTGAGGGATGCAGCCAAAGGCTGATGCTGGGATGGAGCTGATCCATCCCCTGCTCTCAGGGTGGGAAGTGGCCACGGTCTGTTTTTGGGGCTGCTCTGCAGCCACGACCCATGTTCAAAATCTGCAACTTCTGAGCAAACCCTTGCTTTGAAGGCCCCCCTGCAGTTGTTTACCCCCAAATTTTGCACATTTGCAACCACTTAGGCTGAGTTTTAGGGCCTGGAATGGTGTTTTATATAAATCAGGGTTAATTTTGTTGTAAGTGTGGCAGGGGTAGAAGCACGGGCAGTGTCACACCCAGGGGTCACTCAGCTCCCACCTCCCTTTCTCCCCACACAGCCCGTTTAAACCTGAGCTTCAAACTGAGCAAGACAAGGTCCCAGAAGCTGCTGCAGCAGCGACGTGGGCAGAGGAAACCCAACACTTTGCACACCTACACAGAAAGTATCGACATGGGAAAAGGCAAACGCGGCTGAAAAAGAAAGTATCACCGAGGCAGGGCCAGAGCAGCCCCCTGGGAATCCCAGCAGCCTGGCCAGGGGGGCCAGACCCACTCACACAGGGCACCAATAATCCTACAGCATCCACAGGGATGCACCAGCATTTCCTGAACAGCAGGAAAGAGGGATGTAAAAAAGAAATGAAATCCAGCGGGTCGACATTTTCCTTTGGGGAGGAAGGGGCATTTTGACTGAAAAAAGGAGACCTAGGGGAAAAAAAATACCCAATCTTTCCCATTTCTGCTGATTTTGACAGATTATATTCTCTGAAATTGCTATCAGCAGCCTCACCATGAAGTGGGTCAGGCCCTGCTCTGCTCCTTAGAGAATTTCCCTTTACTGGCATTTTGCAGAAAAGTACCAACATGTAACTCATGTGTTTTATGCCCCTGGGGAGGGAAACCTGGAAAAATCAGGACATAAAAACCAGCAGTACCGAGAGGCCGAGGATAAACCACCATTAAATTAATCCAAACTACTTACTATGAGGGAAAAGTGAAAAAGAAGGAAAAAAAAGTACAGTATCGTGTTATGTCTTGTTATTGAATTTTACTTGTAACAACAGCATGAAACACAACATTACTGAGCAAAACTCAGAATCCCTCTGCCTCACCCTGGCAATTCCCCAGACCTGAAAACACTTGGAATGGAGGAAACTGAATTTTTCTCTTCTTTTGACCTCAGAGAAAACGCATCAAAATTCCTTCTGTAAATCCAGACAAAATTCTTCCTTCTTCAGTTTGAGATTTAGATGATTAATTGCACCTTATTTCACACAAGCTCTCCTCTAGGAAGCGGAAATCCTCTCTGAGTTTGGAAAACCATCCATGGAGAATAATTTCCTCCATCCCTGGCTAAAGCTGGATGAGTTGGCAGCAGCCCCTCCCAGCACACCCCTGCCCCAGCCCTGCCTGCTCTGAGCAGCAGCAACACAGGTCTGTCCTTTCTGTGAGATCACAGAGCAGGGAAGCAGGTGAAATACATTAATAGCCCCAATGATAATTCAGAGAAGAGATTTTGCTTCTAATTCTCCTTATCCTTTGCCAGATCATCTGAATCACACACAGTACAGGAGGATCAAACACGACTCAGGCAGAAAAGATGGAGGATGGGAAAAGCAGTGCCTGTGCTTCACAATATCTGGGTTTGGAAGAAGAAATTTGCATTGAAAGAAGAACAAGAGAACTGGCAAAAATAGGACTAAGAGCCTTGTTGCCACATGTTATTCATGGCTGTAAATACTATTTGGATGCTCAGGCAGGTTCAGGAGAGGAAGAACTGATGGGCTGGTGGAGCAGCTGAGGGTGGGGAGGCCCTGGCACAGGTTGCCCAGAGAAGCTGTGGCTGCCCCACCCCTGGAAGTGCCCAAGGCCAGGTTGGACAGGGCTTGGAGCAACCTGGGCTGGTGGAAGGTGTCCCTGCCCATGGCAGAGGGTGGCATTGGATGGGCTTTAAGGTCCCTTCCATCCCAAACCATTCCATAATTCTATGCTGGTATATCCATATCCAACACCCACTCCCGTGGCATTCCCACTCCTGAACTTTAGCAGGTTAGAGACCAGACTTCTCAATAAATACCCTGCAGGGAAAGGCACTGAGCTGCAGACTCAGGGCCAGACCATCCCCCTGCAGAACTGAAACTAAATCAGGGCTGAGCTCGGACCTGGTATCGATTCTGTGTCTGTACGAGACACCCGGTTTGCAGACTTCAGGTTCATTAAAGGGTTTCTTTTTTCCTTCTTTAAGTACCAAAAATAAAAAGGCTGCCCTTCAAAACAAGTTCTCATTAAAGTTTTCCCCTTTCTTTAGGCGTCACAAATGAAAACAGCAAATGCTGCCCTTCAGAAAGGTAACTGCTCTGGTGTCTGACAGGGAGAAGGGGCTGAAAAGAAAAGAACAACCCAGTTACACAGAAATTGCTGCCTGTTCTCTGTGTCTTGTTTGTCAAATCTGTGGTTATATGTGCCTATCTGAAGTTCCATCAGTAACACTCAGGACAAAGCAGGAATGTAACAGAAAAATAAATCAGTGCCTAATAGCTTTCAGAGAAACCAAGGGGAACACAATTATGTGGCATCTACATGCTAATCTACCAGACTCGAATCTCAAAGGAGTTCAAGTGCCCTACTCAAAATTCCTGCAGTGATAAGGGGTCTGCTGTGTTTGGCTGGGGTTGGGAGAAAAGATTTTTATGATAATTATCTTTGTGTGGAACAATTTTGCATTTTCCTTCCTGTTAATTCCGAAGCGAACTGGGGCTGCGAGGCAGCAGGAAGATAGCCCTGCTGAAAGTAAAAAGTATTAAGGAGTCAAATATTTAATGTTGGCCTGGCATAATTTGACAGCAATTATGCGGCAAAAGCACTAGACGTTACCAGGAAGACACAGATAAATGTTCCATAATGACAGAGATGGAAAACAAGGAGCACTTTTTTGCTTGTTCACATAAAAGCCTGTTAGAAACTGAAATGCAGAACAGCGGTGAGTTTTCATTCTGATTTCTCCCTGACATCAAAAAAAGGGTACAGAAATTATTCATCTCTGTGTGTCGGCCTCAAGAAAATTATTAACTTTTCGGGGGGGGGGGGAGAACAGTAAAAAAAATAATCCCAAATTTGACACGAGTGAGGCAGCAGCTACCACATTTCACCCCCAGCCCTTCAGCAAACGAGCTTCCAGCAGCACAAATCCTCAAACTATCCTGTTTTCCAGAAATATTTGAAACAATTAGTTTCAATCCTATGCAAACTCTTAAAGGATTTCACTGCAAATTTGAATCTGAAATTATATTCATATGCAGGTAAGAGAACATAAATGTACTGTGACATGCCCAGGTGAGAGAACTCAGATTTCAGTGATTATTTGTATAGAACAGTATTTCCAACTAATAGTTTAAACACAGCTGGTAAATGAGAATATATTTACAGAAATCAGTGGACCGTGCAAGAGCAGGTGAGGTGTCGATATCCCAGCAATAATAATTCTAGGGATGAATCTTCCACCCTCTGCCTGGATCCCCCTTTTCCAGGTACTCTAGAGCTCTGCTGTTTTCCAAGCCTTGGAAAGGTTGGGCCCATCTTTATTACACCTAAAGAAACATGGTGACCCTGGGGATGGAAAAGGCACCTCCAATCATATTCAAAAACACCATGTTCCTCACAGGGAAGGGGAAAATTAGTCTGCTGCACATCTTGAGTTTAATAAAGACTCACTATCGTGGACTTAGACAGTCACTCCCACCAGGGAAAGAGTGAAAATGAGCATAAAATCCCAAGAGCGACAGAAGGGGGAGGTACTGGATCAGGTTTTGTCCCAGCTCAGCACTCAGTGAGGTTCTCAGCATTCCTGGGTGTGCTGCAGAGAGGTGCAGAAGGTCCTCTGGAGGCCTTACCTTCCATGCTGGGCGCCATGTTCCCAAGGGAATAACCACCTTCCTTCAAACACACCAAGAGCTCTTCTCCTGGCTCAATTTCTTTAATAACTTTATAATAGATCTGGGAATCAGAAACAAAAATTGAGAGACACGTTAAATATGCAAAGACTTGCACTTTACATTTTCCCCCAGTAACTCCAATGATTCCAGCTAACAGGGGAGGCTGTCACTGGGTTTGGGATGATTGCTGCTGAGAGCTCGTTTTTCTGCCTTTATTTGGCTCCCTGGGTGTCAGCATTTCACAGGGCTAGGACAGTAGGGAAATATTTCGGGTAACAGCCTCTCTCCTTCAAATCACACAAAATCTTCCCATTGTTCTCCCTCCTCCTCTAAGCTCAGTGTGTTTGTTACAGCCAGGGGAAGGTTAAACTGATGGAAGGGACACGTTTAACTCTCTGCTCCCTGAGCTGAGATTGGCCTGATGATCTAAGCTGACTTATCACTTCTTTACGGAATCATTTTGGAGATTATTCTCCCCTACAGCCAAGACCTGACCCCTAAGGATGAGATCTGAACCACTCTGGGTCAGCAGTTTATTCTGAGCTCCTGTCTGAGCACAGACCCTGGACCTTCCAAAATGTCCCAAGCACAGCTCTGTTCACCTGCTGAACCTTTGTCACTGCACAGGGGGGAAATCCCAAAACAGAAACAGGATTGAGACAAGGGCAGAGCCCACGGCCCAGCTGCACTGGGAGGGAGCAGAACATGGATTAAAGGATACCTGGGCTCTACACTGAACCAAAATGAATTCAGGCACTCCAATGATGCCTAGAAAATATTAGAGTGAGAAAGAAATCTCCTTCATCCAAGGTGCAATGACATTTAACATTGCACTAACATAGTGTATGTTTTTAGACATATCACACACTGAACTTTACTGTTCTTCCCCCAAACCCCACAGAAACCAGGGCAGCAGGTCCAGTGACAGGTGGGTCACACATGAGTGGACCCCAATGGCCTCATTCCTTTGGACAAAATGGCAGGAATTCCTGGGGAAGAAGAGTGGCTGACAGTGGATTATCTGTAAGAGAGATGCTCCAGTCCCTTAATCTTCCTTGTAGGCTCCACTGGACCTGCTCCAGGAGCTCCATGTCTCTCTTGGGCTGAGGAGATTTGGTGCCTTCCACGTTTCCCAGATTTTTAAGAACCCTGTCCTCTCCTAACACAGTGCCACAAGAATTCACCCGATAACAATTATTAACTGCCAAGTTTCCTTAGCACTGCCTTCAACAGCAAAGCAAGAAATTATTTTTCAGGATAACAAGTACAATGCACCCAGAATGATTGCCTACACCCTGCCACTCAGCCTCTGCCAGCCTGTGCTTATGGAGAAGAAAGACACAAAACCCCTGAAGTCCTGCCCGGGCTGCAATAATGATTTTTCCTTCCCAGAGTCCCCTCCCCTCCCTCCTTGGAATGCCAGGCCCTGGCACACGGGTGGCCCCGAGCCCGGCAGGAGCAAGAGGTGCTCGGGCTGCTCCCGAATTGTCCTCCCTGTCCCGGAGTCGCTGCTGCGGGGAGATGTGACCGCCCGGGGATGGGAGCGATTCCAGGGAGCTGCGGGGACACGGGGCATCATCCATCGCTCCCAAAGCCACCTCTCGGAGTGGCGGGGACCGGGAAGCCCAGTCCCCGGAGCTCCGAACCTTCCCTCCACACCGAGTTCGGGACACTCCCGACAGATCCGCCCGCGTTACACCGAGCACCGGAGCGGCCGCGACCCGTCATCCCTGCACTGTCCCAATCCCTGCACTGTCCCAATCCCTGCACTGTCCCGGTCCCTGCACTGTCCCGGTCCCCGCACAGGTCACACACGTTGCTCCCGCAGCTCCAGGAGCGTTGCCCATCCCGCAGGCACCGCTCCGGGATAACGCGCTCGCTCCGCCGCCCCTCCCGCGCCCCGATCCCGCTCCCGCTCCGGCGGGGGATGGCGAGGGCTCTCCCGCCGGCGCCCCGGGATTCCCACCTCTCCCCGGGACACAGCGAGCAAAACTTGCCGGCGGGGCGCGCTCCCGCAGCCGCCGGGACCGGGAGCGGGGGCAGGAGCGGGATGGGGAGCGAGAGAGGGACCGGGAGGGGATCGGGATCGGGAGCGATGCCCCCGCCCGGCCCCAGCAGGTGGCACACGCCGCCCGCTCCCGGCCCCGCTCCCGATCCCGCTCCCCCCTCGGGATCCCCCCCGGCCCCTCGGTGCCGGCCCCGGGCACTGGAGCGGCTCGGGCCGGGCCGGGGCTGGACGGGGCTGGACGGGGCGGGGGCCGCCTGACCTGTCGCTCCTGTCCCTTCGGCCGCTCCGCTCCTCCGGTGCCGGCGGACGGGCCCGGCCGCAGGGAGGGCAGGGAAGGGGAAAGGAAGGGGAGGGGAGGGAAGGGCAGCCGGGCCGTGTCTCTGCAGCAGCTCCAAGCGCTGCCCGGGGCGGACGGAGACACAACCGCCCCCCTGACCCGGGTGTCGCGGCCCCCGCGCGCTGCGGGGCGGCCCTTACGGGAGCTCCGGTGCGGCTCCGACATCCCGACCCGCACCGGCTGCCTCCCTCCATCCCCTCCTGCACCTCCCCACAGCTCCGCTCTCCAACTCCCCGGGATCTCGGTTCCTGACAGATCCCGGCGGGGCAGGCCGGGGGATCTCTCACCGAGAGTTTCCAAGCAGTGACACGGCCACAAACACAAATGTTTGGGATGAGAAATGAAATCCAACTGCTTGCCATGGATAAGACGCCCCAAAGTGCACAGAAACCCATCCCTGCTCCTGCCAGAATCCTCAGTGTAATTCCATCACTGTTTCCCGCTGGTTTGCAAACAGTTCTTCCGTGGCAGACACTCTGTCCCCACCTAGCTCAGAGCCCAAAACAGGCACCTGGTGCCAAAGGCAGGATTTGAGGATCTCGCTGTACAGCTGAGAGACCCTCGGGTGGGAACCCCCGAGCAGCACCGAGCTGACAGCAGGACACTCATCTGTGCACAGGTGAGCACAGCTCTGAGATCCCACTGCCCTGCTCCACAGGGAGGGGAGGGTTAATTTCTGTGAATTCCACCGCAACCCAAAAGTTGTATAAAATTCACCATTTTCTCATTATCTTTTTCATTTGCACTTCAACGCTCTTCCCTGCTTGTTCAACAAGAAAAGCTTTTCCCAGGACCAAACCACACTGAGCTTAATGGGAAAATTGCCTGGAAAAAAGCAAAGGACAGGCTAGGAGTGAGCCCAGAGCTCAGGGCTGAGTCAGAAAAACAGGACTCGGGATGATCCAAGCTAAGAGAAAAAATGAAATAAAATAAAACTGCTATTAACAGACATTTCTCTTGCAGCTGGTAACCCAAACCCAAACCAGCACTAAAACACAAACCGTGGTCTAAAAGGTCCATCTAGTTCATAGATACAGTCACAAATTTTACACTGAAAAATCCTTCAGAATTACCCTGCCAAAGGCTGACACTGCCCCTGTGTCACCCTTTAGCTCCTTTTCCTCTCCTGTTTGTTCTCAGAACAAAGTAGCTCCTTGTATTTAAAAACGTCTGCTGCAGTCTTTCCAGAAATATAGGACAAGCTTCATTAATGATCAGGGAAAAGCTGGATTCTGCTGGAGTCACATTAATTTCATCAAACATTTCATTATAATAATTAACTTCATCTTGCAATCGTGTTACTGATGGTCTGGATTCATTAAAACCACTGCTGTGTTTCCTCTCCTTTTTTATTTCTTGTGCACTGAAAAAACCTCGGATTTACTAAACCAGCAGAAGATTTACATTCATAAATCAATTATGGTCATTTATAGAAAAGCTCCAAACATGATCATTTCTCATTTCCCACCACAGAACAGGCAACTCTCCTAATTACCAGTTTAATTTAACACTAAATAGTTAACAGGATAACTAGGGCTTGGTAGTGCTCTCACGGATGACTGAAACTACTCAATTTCTTGATTTTTATCAAAATTACTCCGTGCACGGGGCACCGAATAGAGAAAAAATAAAAGGAAAGTATATATATAAAAAAAAGAAGGTAAAAATAAGCCAGAGGAATCCTTTTCCAGCCTGGGCTGGTACACGGATCTGCTGTGTGGCTGTGAGCTCGGGGCAGCACAAAGCTGCCTCTGCCTGCAGCAGTTTGCAGCTAAACCCGAGCAATTTGGTCCAGACACCGAAATATCGGTGCTGCAGAACCACAACCGCCACACTCCGAGGCTGATCTCAGAGCCCGGCATCACGTAATGGGAGCCGGGCATCTTTATCTCTGACAAAAAGTGTTCAGGAGCCCCCGGAGCCCCGGGACGAGGCGGGGACGTTTCAGCATCCCCAGGGCAAGGGACGGGGACGAAACGCGGCGAGGGAGAAAAGCCCGTCCCAGAACCACCTCCCTGACGAGGATCCTGCACAGGAACCACCCTGTTCCCTGCACCAGTTACAGCCGTGACCTGTCTGAGCTCCGACACAGCCGCGCGTTTGTACTTTGGGGGGGGACAAAGAGCACCAGGGAGGGGAGAGAACAGCTGCTGCATCCACCCAAAGATCAAAAACCCACCCACCCACGGCATCGGCTGCAGCAGAGGAGCTCCAAAACTCAAAACCAGCTGAAAAACGGCTCTTTATGTCCTCGTCTCACAAATAATGAACCCCAGCAGCCGGGGGGGGGTTTGTACCTCCTGCCCTCCCACCGCCAGCCCCGTCCCGGGGCCCCGGAGGAGCGGACACAGCCAGGATGGGGCTGCACCTTCTGCTTTTGTTCCCGTGTTTTCCTCCTTTGGAGTCGCCTCCCCTTTGTCTCAGCCGAGCCACATTGCTTTTTATTTCCTCTTTTTTTTAAGGCGCTGTGTTCTGTACCCGGGAATCCCGAGCAGAGTCACCAAACACGTGTGTAAAACACACATAAAACCCCTGCAACACACACACCCCTCACAGAGGTTATTAAACACAGGCCTGATTTTTTCCATCCCCTGTTACCCCTTTTATTCCCCAATATCTGCATCCCAAATAAAAGCTGCAGCTATCACCCTGGAAGCCAGCTCAGGCCATTATATTTATTACATAGATTCTGTTTAATATTACAGACTCCTGAACTGCTCAAGTATTTTCCTCATGAAGGCAGCAGTAGCAACAGGAAAAAAATAAAACATTTTCCAGACACATTTAGTAAATCATATCATTTTTCTAGCATTTTTTCAAGTCCTCCTTCAGAATCACAATTATCTCAGTCAATCAAGGATATCTTCTATTCTTTTCAAATACCTATTCAGCATGAATAAATATAAAGAAAACGGGCTAACGTTATTCTACCTGTGAAAATTGGTTTCACAATTGAAAAATAGTTAATGAAATGTCTCAATTAATCTCTTTCTAACTAGAAGTACATTTTAAATACATTATAATCTGTAACGGGGGGATCATTCAACAGTCCAGATTCTGCTGTCAATTACTTCACTAGAAATTTTATTTTGAGTCTTTAAGAATTCAAATACTCTTGTATTGTGGGGGGTTTTATTCAAAAGGCACCTTGGCCACTTGGGAATTATGAATTCACTGAGTGTGATGAAAGCCCAGAGCAGCTGATAACATCCTTAAAAGTCCTTCACAGATCCAAATCTGCCTCCTGTTTGCTGACAGGTAACAGCAGCAGGACAGGATTTCTCATTTAAGCTGGGTCTGAAACAGTAACTTGGATTTGATTTGGGCTCGACTGGAGGTTTGTGAAACTCGAAATGAGGATTGCTCATCCTGAATCCATTTTTGGGTTTAAGCTTCAGAGAAATTTGCAAACACTGGCAAACCTCATAAAAATCCCATTAATTCCATGTAACACCCCTCACTCACACCCCCCCAGCACTGCTGTCACCTGCCTGGGAGGGTTCCACCTGCCCTCCTCCTCCTCAGCAGGCTCCCAAACCATCTCCCACTCTCCCTTTCCTCTTCAAGGCAGACACCAATGGAGTTCCCAGCCTGGAATTGTGCTCCCCACCCACCCCTGCCCACAGTTCCCATGGCCATGAACCCCCAGTGTTGATTCCCACCCGTCTCAGTCTGTTCTGTCACCATCACCCACATTTCACAGCATCTGCTTCACCACCAGAGGAGTCGGGGGCTGGAAGATCCGAACTCTGGGGGTCCCAGGGACACCCCAGTGGAGCTGCTGAGCAGATCAGTGCCTTGGCTGGCTCCTGTCAGTGCTGCCCCTCCACACCTTGCTCTGACCAACCCCCCCAGCCCCTGTGGAGGGTCGGGGTAGGCACAGCAGCCCCTGTGGAGGGGTGGGGTGGGCACAGGGGTGGGCACAGGGCCGTTACCTGCTCGTTGACGTGGCACAGAGCCAGGTTCTGCTCGTCGCAGGAACAGGACACACGGATGTACTTCAGCCAGCTCCCAGCCCCAGCCTGGCCAGCGTCCACACAGAACTTCTCATGGCCCAGGTCCTCAGCAATCTGCAGGGGAACGGGAGAAAGGCACAGGTCAGCTGGGGCCAAACGGCAGCTCTGGGGAGAGGAGAGGGGGGAAAACTGTTTGCGAGGCAGGACTCTAAACAAGAAACAGAAGAGAGAACACTGGATGATACACACAGCTGACAGAGAGATGACAAGAGCAAAACCAGCTCTCAGCCATAATCTGGAATTCCTTGTTGGCAGAACATCCCAGCACATACAGCAAAGTGGTCCATGAGGAACAGGATCAGGACCACAACTGGAGACAAACACACAGCTCTGCTCTCCACACCAGTTCAAGGAACCAAAGCAGGTAATTCCTCCAAAATGTGTTGATTTCAGTGACAAGGTCCTTAAACTGCTCCATCTTCACCTTATCTATTTTATCCTTTCATGCAGGACCAGTTTTAATGACAAATATTTCAATACACTTTCAAAACAAGTCACTTTCCACAGCGCTGGGAAATGGTGTTTTAAAAAAATGCTTTAACAAATGATACTTTCATTTATCAAAGTACAGCACGAGAAATCCACTGACCACGTCTGTGGGGCTGAGTGTGAGATACAACTGGGCTTGTGTGCAAAACTGGACTCCTTCCAAAAGAAAACCTTCAAATAAAACTCCAGGTGTGTGGAAAAAAGAGTTAATTAAAGGTTTGTGATTCAAAGAAACACACTGGTTTACCAGGAAGAGACTTTTGCTCTCTTAAGACAGTGAAGTTTAGAAACAGAAGCAGAGGAGATGCTCAGCACTCCTGACAGATGTTTGGGATGATCCAGTTGGCAACTCACACAAAAAAGCACATTTAAAAAATTACACAGGACACCCTGAAAACAAGGAAAAGGCCTTTGAGCCCAAGCATGGCAAAACCCTGTTCTGCTCCTAAGTGGGCCTCCCTGTTACAGAAACTCCTTTTTTCCTTAGATTTCCCTCTACCCTGACCAGACCCTGTGTCAGTGCAAATTACTTCAGTCATCAAAAGCTCTTAACATGCTTTTACTAGCAATTAATTCTCTCAAAATCTCATGGGATACGATAATACTTTCCCATCTATTTCAAGACAGAGGAAAAAAAAAGAAAAGGTGGGAAAACAAAGGAAAGGAAAAATTAAAACCCAGCGATGACAGCAGCAAGTGGAGTCCAAGGCTGGGCTGAGGAATCTCGGGGGGATGTTGCCAGTTGAGACTCTCGCTCCCAGCCCTGAACTCCCAGGACTGCAGGACCTGCCAGCATCACCAGGAAAGCTCCCACCTCCCTGCACACATTCCCTGGTCCCTCAGCTCCTGCACTGACCCTTTGCCACCATTACTCTTTGCCTTCTTCCTTCCTAATCGAACACAGCACTGAGAGTCACTGAAATCCTGCATTTCCTCCCCAAACGTGTGTTTGGGACAGGACTGGGGCAGGAAACAACCTGTGTGTGCTCAGTTCCTTCATCCCCTGCCTGGGAACACTCACGGCCACTGACTCTGCCCTGAGCAGACCCTTCCTCAAACCCTGCTACTTTCTAGACCCCCTTGTTCTGAGCTCTGCTGGGAACACCAAAGGTCTCAGGTGGGGCAGTAATGGCACACGAAGCCAATTTTAGGTTGTCTGGGCTTTGCAAGAAAAAAACAACAACAAAAGAGTGTTTGTAACATGGGTTGAAAGACTGTACTAATTCAAGCTAAAATAACCATAACTCCTGCTTTATCTCAGGGAACTCCAGGAACACAGAGGCTGACTGGAGCTGTTGAGATTGAAGTGCTTCTCTTGGCCTTACTGACCCCAAATGAAGTGGACCAGTCAAACCAGCACCTCGAGGGGCAGGAGTGGGGACACACCTAATCAGAAAGTGATAACAACTTCCAGGGAATTCCTCTGGAAAACAGAATGAGACGAATCATCGATGCTCAGCTGGTCTGAAGCCACTGAACAGTTTTTAAAGGTTTGAGTGAACAGCAGCCCACAAACATCCCAGTGCCATTAATTTATAAGGCAGCAACTGGTGATGCTCAGCCACCCTGGGAACACAATGTGGAAAACTGCAGGACTTCCCAAATAGGTTGTTTTACTTCACAGCTGTATCTTACAGACACCCTCTCTCATCCTCTAGAATTGTTTGATGAGGACACTCAGATTGTAGAATCACAGACGGGTTTGGGTGGGAAGGGACCTCCAGGATCATCTAATTCCATGGGGAGACAGCTCAAGGGAAGCTCAGAATTTGGCTCAAATTCACTTTGCAGAGCCCTGCTCAGGCTCTGCCTCAGGAGGAGGTTCTGCCAGAGCTCGAAATCACCTGAAACTGTGGTTTTATCTGCGTGGGGAAATAAAAGCCAAGCTGGGGGTGTGAAAGCTGACAGATCAAAACGAGAAAAAAAGAGGTTGCATGAAACCCTGAGAACTTCAGCTCCTGTTTTTCACACACACACTCACTGTACCCCACAAACAGAACCCAGCACCACGGCCCAAGGCCCGGCAGTGGCACTGGGGGGGACTCTGCAAACAGCCACCCCTTAGTGAGGGTGATGCCTCTGCTGGGATCAATGAGGACCCTCTGAAAAGAAAATAAAGGTGGCAATCAGCTGGTCTCAAAGTGCTGCAGGAGCACAGGGTGCTCCGGGGTGAGCTCAGCCCTTGGTGGCCAACACCTCTAATTAAAGAGCGAGTTCACACGCTCACGCTCTGGGCTGATGTTCTGGGTCAAGGTTATTTCACAGCATAAAAAAACCCTGAGAAATCCAAAAGCCACCACCAATCACTATCTGCGGTATCTATTTTTTCCTCTGTCAAATGTGCACACACAGAATAACATTCTCTCTTCCTCCCACCTTAAAAAACTCCGGAAAAACAAGCTGAAACCTTTCACCACATCTTCTTCCAGTTCAGACCAGAAGGAAATCAGAAATTTCCTCTGGCGAAATTCTGCAAGCCAACTGCTTACAAGTCGTTGTCAGTAACTTAAAAAAAAAAAAGAGATTTTCAGTTTGAAAATGCTCCTGGAAAGCTCCTGGAAAATTCATTTTTCTGTGTTTAGAAGAAGCAGGAGCAGCACCAAGAGATAACTGATGTTCTCTGAAGAAGGGCAGGTGGACAGAAAAAAGAGAGGGAAAGAATGTTGGCTGTGGGTAAATTGAAGGTCCCAGATGGAAGCACAGAGGGATTCACCCTGCAGTGAACTGCTGGAAACCTCAGCTCCACACAGCTGCTGGAGTGGGGCTGCACTCACCACAGCACTCCCCTCCAGCTCTGTTAAACCTGGTTGTTCACAGTTAGGACCAGAACTAAACCCATCCCTACCCAGGACTTATCAGCAGCTTTAATCATGAGCCCATCCATTCACAGATATCCCTGTTCCCTGGACAGGTGAAGGCTGACATCAGGTATTTATCACCAACAGCAACAAAAGAGATGCCACAGGAAGGAAAACCCAAGCAGAAGATGCCGTGGAATGAGCAGGACTCTGCCCTGGTGGAGCTGACAGGGAACAGTTGCAGTTGTGCCTGTGCTCTGTGCTGGGGCTGGCTCTGCACCAGCCAGGCAGTGCAGGGCTCTCTCCAGTGGGTAATTTGGCTCAGGCATTAAAAGAAGTTGTCAGAGCGAGAGGAGAGGGGGAAAAAAGGTGTGGAGATATGGGAGAGGAGAAAAAAAATAAATTTATACTTAATAACTGGCACTGGTTTTGCTGGTCTGTAACCAGTACGTGCTGACACTCCAGCCAGTTTTGGGGCAATGCTCGTCACCCCCTTGATCCTCTGGGATCTGAGGCACAGCATCCCTGCCCCTTGGAGCTGGGCTTCCTGCAGGAACACATTGTGTCCCTTTTGCCTTGTCCCCATGTTAAACCACGGGCGGGCAGGGACAGCCATGTGCACTTGGGATCTGCTGGAAAAGCAAACTTCCATCTGGACTGTGGCCTGAGGGCTCAGAGAGTTAATTCCTGTGGGAGCATTTCCTCTGCCTCATCTCCCCCTGACCACTCTTCCATCTGATCCCACCCACCCCATCATGGATTTCTCCCTTTTTTTTTTTTTTTTACTCAATATGCCAAGAACTAAGTTCATCTTTTCTCCCTCTGCTTCAGATGGTGAGTTCAGTGTTTATTTATTAACCCACGGCACCTCCCAGGACTTTTGTCTGCAAATCCAACAGTTCATCCAAGAACTCCCAATTCCCCCCCTCTTCCCTGCCAGTAACTGTGCCCTGACTCTGTCTGGCGGAGTCGTTCCCTGTGTTTCCACAGAACGCTCTCTCCTCCCTGCTCCAAAGTCCCCATCCTCCTCCTCTCCAGGCCATCTGCTCCAAACAAATGCACCTTCACGTTCCCTGGGATTGCAGGGCTTTAACTGGCCCGCAGCAGAGACAGGGATTTGGGATGCAGAGCCAGAACGCCGGCTGTGGCTGCGGTTCAGGCTCATCCCTCTCCGGCCAAAAGGAAATTGTTGTCATGTTCCAGGGCTCACTTTGCAGCTTCATCTGCCGCGCAGCGCTCGGGCTCTGGATCCAAAAGGCTTCATTGATCTCGCAAGGGCTCCGTTCCATAATTTATTAACATCAGAAATGCTGAGTTATGGAGCAGAAGTTATGGAAAAATTCGCCTCGAACGTTTACAATTTTTTTTGCACATCATTTGAGGTTTCCTGCTCCTCTAATTTGTGGGCTCTCTGCTGGGTTGCTCCTTTCACGTTTTAATGGGCAGAGTCCAAGGCCTGGCCCCGGCAGAGGTGTGCCTGGGGGCCGCAGTGCCTGCGGATCTGTCGTCAGGTCGCTTAATGGATTCCTAGTGTGCATGAAGAAACGAAGCAACCAGGAGTTTGCCATCAGTGACCCAGCGTCCTGTTGCTATAACATCCCTCCCCAGAAGCCCAAAGTGTAATAAACCTTCTCATCCCGTGGTCGCAGGATCTGCCTCTGACAGCTTGGCTGATGTGCGCATTTTATTTGGCAGGAGTCGGAGATTTTTCCTCTTTTTTTCTCCCCCCCTTTTTTTGCTTTAATGACCCACAAGCTGATTTAGAGC